AGAGAGAGAGCGAGAGAGAGAGAGAACTCGGGTTGCTGGACGTCGCCCTCTTGGAGGAGCGCGTCGGCGGCGAAGAGCTGGGAGTGGGAGCCAACCAAGGCCTGCACGAAGAGCTCGCACCACCACCAGACCCAGCGCACCTGCGTGGCTTCGAAGGCGGCAGCAGCACGACGGGCGCGGGGGGAGGCAGGCAGGCAGGGAGCAGCACGACGGGGCGGTAGACGGAGAAGGACGCGAAGGCGGACCAGGAGGCGCCCTTGCGGACACGCCAGCTGATGGCCATCACGCTGTTCACAATGGCGCCCGCCACCAACACGGAGCGCGTCTCGAAGAACTGGCTCTGCACATTGCTGCCCATCAAGGCCATCCATCGGGGCTTCATCGGAGATGCCACTGCTCCAGGGAACCTCCATCTGCACACACACGCTGCGCTGCGCTGCGCCTACTCCACTTCCCTCATACCAATCGCGCTCTCCACAATCCGAGCAGGCCACAACCGAACGCCAACCGAACGCCAACCGAACGCCGGCGCGGGTCGAGAAGGTCGCGATGAGGGTTTCCGCGGGGAAGGGGAGGCCGTTTCGGGACACCAACCTGTTGGCATTGATGTAGAGCGTGCGTGCCTTCGCAGAACCGCGGGAAGGAGCCATCGAAGGCGAAGGCGAAGGCAATGGTGTAGTCGGAGATGGAGATCGCGGTGGTGGGATAGGAGAACGTGGCCTCGGCCAATTCAAACACGATGTGGATGTTCATGGGCTCGAATGGGTCGTTCATCACCTCGCCCACGCCCACATTGCTCGTGCAGTACATCGTGGATTGCTTCCCATCTCCCATCGTCCACAGCGCCACGTCCCTCGCGCCATCGCCCGCCACGCAGCGCAGCGCAGCGCAGCATCGGCAGGATGGGCTGGCAGGAGCCCGTCCCCTATCGATCGATCGATTCCCACTGCTGATAGGCGTTGCACCCATCCGTGATCATGCCCCACTAGTCCACATCGCACTTCCTATCCAACACTTGCCCCAAGTGCCCTTCCGGCTACCCCGCCGCTTCGTCCGCGGGGCACACCACCGCCACGCACCTCACCTCTCTTCCATTCCAACACTTCCCACACGCCCGCACCACGCACACCTCCACCTTCCCATGCTCCACAGACCCACAAATGCACAACTGCACCGTCTTGGAACTCGCCTGCTCCCACTGGCCATTCCAGTTCACTCGGCTCCCATCAATCAGAGGCGAGGACCGTACCCACAGCAGTTCGCATACTCCGCCTTCTTGTCCCATTCTCCCAAGTTCCACACACGCTCCGCTTCTACAAACCTACAGGTCTTGCTCCCATAGTTTGCCCTTTCACTCATCGCAAATCCGTTCTCTCTACCACACTCTACCACCTCACAATATGAAAATGAAAATACGAGAAACAGAACAGATATCCTAGGCAAGAACGTCGTGCCTGTACCAGATACCTCCCACGTTGCAAGTTATCTCCATGTATCCGCGGTCCCACATGGCATGAATGGGTTCGCCACGTTGTACAGTTTGAACTACAGAAATTCCTCACTCGGAACACACTCCACACAGCAAAAATGGAACCAGGGTCCACCGCCATTATGGTATTGAATGCGTTCACGATGCATATCTCAAACACACAGTTTAGTCAAAGTAACGATAGCAAAGACTACACTAGCTTCTTCAAACACACCAACTTGAGGACAGAACCCATCCCAGCTACAATACTTACACTCCCACAACACAACACACAAAAACACCTAGAAGTCCGAAAACAAAACAAAAGACAGGGCATACAAGTCCAATTCCAAATTTTGAATACATTCAAACCCAGTAAGACGAAACTAATAGCTTTTATTGTAAAACAAATGATTTCAAAAATACACAGGAATTGTGGAATTGTGAAAATAGTGTTGAAATTGGGTATGAGTGGAAGAATAGATTTCGAATAGGGAGGGAGTTGTTTTTACTGTGAAGTGGAAGGAGATGAGCGGAAATGGGATATTGTGGAATGAATAGATCGAAGAGTGTTGTTTCCAGTGGAAGCGTTTTGTTTTTCGTTCTATTCATTTGGAATCTACTCTAGATGGGATAGAAAGAAATAGGGTATGTAGAAGATGATGATAGGAATGAAAATGGAAAAGCCAGCGATAAGCAGTTTTTGGGTTATCATTTATAGTAATAATATGTGATATGTGTATAGTAGAATCGAATAATAGAGTTTGTGAGAAAGGTGGGTGTGTCGTTGAAGAACTGAGCAAAATAATGTAGAATACATAATATATTTTATACGAACAAATAGAGATATATTCATATTCCACTGTTTCTAGGTTTTTGGATAGTTGGTGTCCAGTTTTTGTCGTTTTGATGCACTCTGAACCTATCAGAGTTTGTTGTATTGCCAGAGAATACTATCCCTTATTCTAACCCATATAGTATCCCCCACCTGCCAAATAATGCAGAATATCTCCTATTTAAAGGAAGGATCGAATTGTACACCACTTCAATAGGGATACAAAGTGATTCACAATGTTGTTCTATTACGAGGATAAATAACAATAGTATACATAATACTTGCTGTTTGAGTTGGTTGATGAAAGTGAAATGCTTTGGTTCCCAACTCATTAGGATGAATAGAATTACTCACTAATAGTGATATCAGTATTGTTGATGATAAAGCTGAAATCCATAAGAATGGACTCTATGGGAATGAGTAGTTGTCCAATATCAAGCTGTGAGACATATCTGGCTGATTATTTGTTGGAGACAACAATCAAACTATTACTTTTCAGATATATAGATAGAAGATAGACATTGATATCTATCTATCTATCTATCTTCTTGAATACCTTACTGAAGTTGTACTTACAAGATATCGTGAATGAAATGTACACATTCGAATTCAAGGAGATCGGACGGTCATTCGCGTCTGTCAGTACCCAATCAATGGAGTCCAGGTTCGATTGTTCAATCACATCGATCGATAGGTTGTCCCAGGTGATCATGTTGTTCAGTCCCATCGATACATGAATCAGGTTATCGATCAGCGGACTCTTCAGACCGAATGTTTGAGCATTGATACTACTGTAGACTCGGATCACACTCATGCCATTCGTGATGTCGTAGGCTCCTCTGGGTATTAACACCTCGTGTGGGTATGTCCCCACATCGATTAATATCTCTTGATCGGTTGGTATGTTGTGCAACACGAAATCGGTATACAACGACACAGACGAGATGGAACACTGGTCGAACAAGAGAGGATTGTCCAGCTTCACTTCCTTCTTCGTAGTATTACCGAACACTTCAATCATACTGAACTAGTTCATCGGTAGAATTGAGGAAGGCACTTGATCAAACACATCTTCTATCGTGCACTGGAGTTCGAATTTGCCGTTCAATCGCATGATATTACCTTCCATATCGCGGAACAGGAACATCAATCGATTGAATCGGGTTATCATCGGAATGCAGATGTCTTCCACGGTGCGGAGATAATTAACCTCGGGATCGTCAATGATCATTGTGGTGAACAGGTTGTTGTTCTGATTGGCAATCTTCAGATCGGAGGAACGCACGAGGGACGAGTACACTTGGATCACTTGTCGATTTCGCGTGATATCAATCACGTTCGATCCATTGAACGAAGCGGGTAGAATGACCATTTGTCCTTCCAAACCGAGGATTTCTCGAATATCCGGAGCATTGGTGAAATCGATGGTGTGTGTGGACTGGATATAAATACACCCATAACTCGAAGCCTTTGTAGATATCGAGAACGTAGTATCGGTCATGGTGTTGAGGATAGCAATGATTTGACCGATCGTGTAGTATCCAGGAGGAATCGTTATCTCCTCGTCATTCGAGTTTGTGACCACATTTGTAGAATCCACGTTGTTGAACATGACTTGATTGGGTGTGAACAGGATAGTCATAGAAGTGATGTAAGGGTTCCGACACTTGTAAGGGTTGATCCATTCGAACGAATCGTTGGTGGGTAGGCCTTGGATGAGCATGGAGTAGTGCATGGCTTGCCTCTCTTTACCTTAGACAAAAGGGGTGAACAAAATAAGCTAAGGTTAAATTTGCACTCCTTATTTCTTATGAAAGCCCAAAGCTACAAGTTGTCCAAGGCGAGTAACGGCGAGCGATGGAAAATGGGGTCTGAGGGGTAACTTCGAGAGGCGGGCTAGCAGTTGACAGGGTCTGAAAACAACTTTGGTCGAAAATGTCCAAAACCTATTTTCGCGCAAAACGTGCCAATACATAACTGTTGCTTAATAATAATAATAATAACAACAATGGATGAATCTACCGTGTGGAATGAATAGAATAAAACATTGTAGTAAAAGAACAGCATCGAGACTTCTCAGCGAGTCACCCACACTGGTACTAACTCGACTCGTGATGACTTAGCTTCCTAGATCGGACGGGTTAGGGCGCTTTCCATCAGATATGGCCGTTCTCATTTTATTTCTATTCACTAACCTATTTAAATATCACATTCTTATCATCATTCACTCACACTCCATTTCAATTACACTCAATTCTTTTCATTTCATTTCATTTCTCTTCTCCTTTTTCAAACAAACAAAGCACAACGAAGGGAACAATCCTCCCCCTGGGGCGGAGCGCGGCGATGTATTCAAGGGCGGTCTTTTCCCCGCGGTTTCCCCGCCAAATCCTGGCGCTGGCGGCGGGAATCGCGCGCCCATTCCCGCGTTTTGCGGCAAGCCGGGTCCCGCGGGGATACTCGGGAACGGACTCGGTCCAGGAACCGCGGGACTGTGAGGGAACTGGGGTCCCGCGGGAATGCTGGGGAACAGATTGCTCGAGTTTCCCGCGGGGAATGGAGGGAAGGGAGCGGGCTGTTGGGGTCCTGGGAACGTGGGTTCCCCGCGGGGATTGCTCATGGGGTATGGAGGAATGGTGTCGATAACCGCGGGGGGCATGATCGGGTTTTGGGAATTGGGAGAAGGAGCGAAAGGGTCTAGAATGAGAGAAGGAGAAGAGAAGGACCGTAGTTGATGCCGTGGGCGTTGAGGACTTGCTTCAGCGTGTTCTCAACGTCGATGTTGGAAGGAACGCTTGGAGAGAGACGCTCGATGATGTGCGCATCACCGCTGTTTTGAAGCATGGAGATTTTCCCCTTGTATTTGCTGTCCAGCATCTGGCAGATCTGGGAGTTAGGTGAAAAGCGGGAAATCGTACAGAGCTGAGCTCATCGACGTCCACTTTGTTACGGCAAGATAATATGGTTCCGATGCATGTTTCCAGGTTGTGAGGAGGATCCTTCTCCATCATGATCACTCCAACACTTGTATCGAGGTTCATTATGTAAACTTGGAGAGATTGAAGAACGAACATATCCTTCTTGATATTTATAAGGTTTTCCACCTTGCTATCATAGATAAAATAGAAAAAATACACAAATCTTTGCCAATTCAACATCACCGCGCTTAAACTTCGCTACAATATCTTTTTCAATACCAGCAGCCTTTCCTCGGAGATTTGCAACTTTCTAATCATTCAAATAGCAAAAAAGACATTACCACTGTGGTCCGCTGGATGGCGTTTTGACAACACATTTTAAACCTATCTTTATCAAATTGTGGTTTGCTTCCAAAACCAAACATGGCTAAATATAAAATTGAAAGATGGTTAAGATATCCAGTAAAACTTATTATTTTGTGTAACAGACAAGTTTGTGAACTGGCTTTTAACTTTTTGGATATAGAAACTACACAGCCTTCTTCGTACCGAGTTAAGAAATTGCTTTTTAGTGTACAGGAAGGTCAATAATGAGTCCAAGCAGAAAGCTCACTCTTTCCTAAGAATATTCATATTCTGTCATACTCTGCTGATTTTCATCATTGTGTTCTTCATTATTCGACGGGTAGATCCTTCAAATGCAATAGACTGACAACTTCACTGCTTCACAGAGCACTACCAACATAGCAGAATAATCTACTGATGCCCTTTTTCATTTTATTGTAAATTTACCATCAAAAATGGGGCTTACCTTGATTCCTTCTTCACTTTCATATTCCTTCTTATTGAAACATACGAATACCTGCTCACTTTCCCTCACTCGTTCCCCACTTTCTTTTCCCAAATTCTCTCCCTCTTCCCTCTCAAGCAATGGGGTGTGGAACAAACAGTGCGTTCAAAATTAGAAAACGAAAACAGGCAAATTGAAAACGGAAAAGATAAAATGGAAACTTCAAAATAGGAAAAGACCCTACTTCATCCGCATCTCCACTTCGGGTGTTTCTCTCTGCATCACGTGCGTTATCTCTCCGTCCACCACCACATCCACCGATTTAAAGAACAGCGGACGGAATTGCTCTCCGAGATGCATCACGGCCCACTCCTTGCAGTGCTCATACATGGTATCGCGTCCCTACATGACACCATTTCCCCGTTTCCACCTGAATCCGCGCGTAGCAGATCTTGCACGTCTTCTGCGAGGGCGTATTGGGCCAGTGCTTGTTATTGAACTAGATGGAATCCCCGCGGTGAAAGCTACGCTGCGATAGAGATCGCGGACAGTGTCGGTGTCGACGACGTTGATGTAGCAGTAGCCGAGGTTGCACTGCGTGCGGAAGTCGATGGGGAGGTAGAAGAAGTCGAAGCGGTCGCGGATGTACGCGTTCACGATCTGCAGCAGGACTTCCTGCGTGAAGCTGGGCGTTACTCGGCCGGCTCGGCAATGCCCACCTGTTGGGGATGTTGCGGATCATGAGGGTGCGGCGCGCGGGGTCGAGGTGGGCGAGGTCGATCTCGAGGGTTTCCTGCAGGCCGCTCTGCGGGTGAGGGAGAGGGAGAGAGGGCACGTGCGGAGCTTTCTTCCCGCGGCCGCGGCGCACGCTGAGGCCAGCGGAGGGGAAGGGAGAGGGCGACGACGACGACGAGGACAGCGCGCCCAGGGGGGCGGGGCTGGCGCCGCGGACACCGCTGGGACCGCTGGGACACGCCGAGCCCGACGCGCTGGGCAGCGGGTAGCCAGACACGCCGCTGGGACCGGTGAGGGCAGAGGAACCATTGACTGGACCGACCGCATTGATGCCAGGGAGGACAATGGTACCACTGGGTCCATTGGGTCCATTGATACCATTGACTTCATTGGGCCCATTCATACCATTGATACCTTTGACTGCATTGACTCCACTGACTGCATTGAACCCATTAGTTCCATTGACTCCATTCAACCCATTGACTCCATTGGGTCCATTGACTGCATTGACTGCGTTGGGACCGTTGGAGCCGGTCATCGGGTAGCCGTGGGCATTGCTGGGAGCGGCGGACGGCGTGTAGTGGGGGGAGGCGGGGGTGGACGACGAGGTGGTAACCGTGGAAACCGTGGAGAGGGTGGAGAGGGTGGAGGTGGCGGAGGGAGGGGGCAGAGCAGAGTGAAGGGACTGGGGAGCGGACTGGGCTTGCGAGGGGCTCAACAACTGACTCCTCGAATAGCCGATGGCCGGATTTAGAGAAGGATTGAGTGCAGGGTGATTCATTGAAGGATGATTCATTGAAGGATTCATTGAAGTGTTCATTGAAGTGTTCATTGAAGGATGATTCATTGAAGGATTCATTGATGGATTTATCGAAGTGTTTATTGAAGGATTCATTGAAGGATGATTCATTGCAGAATTCATTACATTAGGATTCATTGATGGATTTAGAGAAGGGTTCAATGAGATTTGATTCATTGCCGATTGATGGCTCATCGTTCCTTGGTTCCCTGCCTGGCCCCCTGGGAATTTCCGAGCTTCAAACCCGGCATTGCCCACCGCTCTCTCCGTCTCGCCCTCCGCGCTCTCCTGCATCTCCGCCGTGCTGGAGGACCCCGCGGTCTGCGCCAGCGAGTCGGTGCGGGTTCTGCGCTGGACGGGCGGCGGAAAAGAGCGGCGGAAAGGACCTTCCAGACTCGATTCCACGTAGCCGTAGGGACTGCCCGATAGGGGGTACGCCTCCGAGGGGTACGGGGGAGGGTACAGCGAAGGAGAAGGCTGGAGGTAGAGAAATGAGTCGTGGACGGGCTGCGAGGGGGACACAAAAGAGAGAGGCATCGCATGAGAAAAAGGAGAGGTCATGGAATGCCGATCGGAGTAGGGGGTCATGTCGATTGTGCGAAAAAAGAAAGGGTCTGCTGGATTGCTTCTAGATATAGTGGACAATTCGTTCGTGTCCTGAATTGTGAGTGGATCGTTCCCCAAAACGTACATAGAGTGATGCTCTAGGGGCGGGATGCACTGATGGGTAATAGGGTGTAGAAAACTCACCCCTTGACATAGTTTGAAAGGTGTCTGAAATTTAAATTTTACCATCCGATTTTACCCTGAACTGGTTGAGAATCTGTCATGGAGCCATAGTAGGTGTCCGAAACCGATAGTCCTTGACTATCTTCATACCTTCCCAAAACGGGCTCAAACTGCTCCACCGCACTCGCACCTGGATTATCAAACCTACGCAGACTCTCCGGGGATGGATTCTAGTTGTAAGCCTTGCATGCGAATCAAAAGGTTACACTCTGCCCTTTGAAAGATTGACTCATTTTAGCCGCAATTCAAAAAGAAAACGATGGGACTAGCCCAGGTGATATTAAAAGTTACGAAACTGACGTGGGAAGGAACCACGTGACAAACTCGCCAAATTTACACAGAAAAACAAGATTTACACGCCAAAAGCAGCGTTTTGAGTGTAATTACGAAGCAAAAGCAGGTGCCAGAATAGCGAATGCCATGTACCTCCTCTTTTCTATATCCTTCGGCATTCTGGTTCTTTACTACTCTGTCATGCCTATTCTTTACTACTTATACCTCCAGCCTTTTTTCTCCATCTAACCTCATTATCCTTCCCCACCTTCTTTTCTTTTCTTTTTTCCTCCTTTCACGCATCGTTTCTCTCAAACACAATCAAAAACAACAACAAGAATATGCAAACACGACGACCCTCCGCTTCACCCACGTCTTCTGCGTCTCCGTCCTTCCTCCTTGCCCTTTCCGGCCGCCTTTCCCTTCCCTGCGGTCTTGGCGGCGGTCTTCGTCTTCTTGGCCACGCGCTTGGCGCCCTCCTCGAGCACCATTTCCACGCCGGTGAGATACGACGTCGTCTTCGCCTCGCTCTTCAGCTGCTGGTTCCACGCCTTCACCAGCTCGGGCAGTTCCTTGTGCAGCTTCGCGTTCAGCTTGCTCAGCAGCGCGGCATCTACACATCACCGCGGTTTTGGGCGCTCACCGTGGTACTTGCTTCCCTTCTTGAGCGCCTGGAGCAGCATGGCGGGGTCGTCCTTGTAGAGGAACATCGCGACGAACTCCGCGTCGCTGGTTCGATCGTTCTTCTGGCAGAGCTTGAACAGCTTGGTCAGCTCCTCCTTCTTGCCGCGCTTCGCCAGCAGGATGGCGGCGCGCCGCACGCCGGGCAGCTGGTCCACGGGCGTGAGACGATAGTCGACGTCCACGTTGTCGGCCTCGTCCAGCACGCTCAGATCGCCCTTCTTCACGATCTTCACGATAGAAGACACGTCCCCGCGGGACAGCTGGAAGCTGAGACGCAGAGAGGGCGAGAGCCCGGAGAGCTCGAGGCACTTCTCGATGTGGCCCCAGGACTGGAGGACGTAGGCGGCGGCGTCGTGCTGGTCGGGGCGGAGCAGCTGGGACCAGCGAAGCGCCGTGTCGACCTGGTCGGAGGCCATGAGCATGACGAAGCGCAGCGCGGGGTGAGAGAGCGGGAAGGCGACGAGCTCGGCGGAGGGCGTGGCGAGGAGGAGATGGCCCTTGAAGATGGCGAGGAGGGAGAGCGGCGAGGCCGGGAGCAGCTGGACGGGCGGCAGCAGCGCGTTCTGCTTGGTGGTGAGGACGGTCTGGTTGGAGTAGACCGTGGCCAGCAGCGCGGGGTTCGTGGCCAGCGAGGTGTGGTGGCCCAGCGTGTAGGTCGTCACCGACCGCCCGTTCAGCAGCAGCAGCAGCAGCGCTTCGGGAGTGGCGAGGAAGACCGCGTTCACCGCGGGGAGCGCCGACTGCACGGGGTGGTTGGTGATGGTGAGCAGCTCCACGGAGGACTCGATGCGATAGCTGCGGCTCAACGGGAGAGAGAACGCGCGTACATCGCGGTTTTGTCGTGGTAGCTCAGCAGCAGCAGCCCGTTCTCGCGCAGCAGCAGCACGCTGTTCGGCAGCGGCAGCCGCCCCGTGGCGTTCTTCAGATGCTCGTGGCGCCGCCACTCCGTCGCGGCCGACGCGTCCTCGGTCTGCTCGGCATTGCCCTCCGCGGGGAGCACGTCCCACGCGAAGAACTGGATCTGCTGGGAATGGAGGTGCGTGGAGCGCATCTCCGCCTCGGTGGGCGTCAGCCCGACGCCCAGCAGATAGCCGCCGAAGAGCGTGTTGGGCGTGGACTCGCCGCTGATCCAGACGGGATGGTCGGCTCCCTGGAGGTCCTACGGATCGAGGCAGAGCGGAGGAGCGACGTGGATGTGCACGAAGCTCGCAGAGATCGTCGCGAATTTGTCGGGAATGTAGCTCCACGCGAAGCCGTCGATCGATTGGAGGGTTTGCGTGGGGACGAGCTGGAGGCCCGCTTTGCTGCATTGCAGGGAGAAGAGCATCGCCGTCTTGGCGTTCTTGAAGTACACGGCCAGGTACGAACTGTCCGCGTTGAGCAGCAGCGAGGGCGTCTCGCTCACGGGGAGATTGGTGGCCAGGACTTGCGCAGAGCGACGCACCGCTGCGGGCATGGAAGTGTCGTTAGAGTCCTCGATGACAGCCTCCACGACGTCGAACGTGTGATACTCTGCATGGTGAGTTCATTGATTCATTGATTCATTGATTCAAAACCCATTCACTCATCGATTATCAAATTCATTCAATTCATTTGATTTTTGATTCAATTCATTCAATTCATTCAATTCATTCAATTCATTCAATTCATTCAATTCATTCAATTCATTCAATTCATTCAATTCATTCAATTCATTCAATTCATTCATTCAAAACCCGTTCATTCATTCACTCATCCCCTCTCCACCTACCAATTTGTCCCTCCGTGTACTTCACCACATGCACCATCTCTCCATCCAAATCGGGATGCATCACGCGCAGCACCGCGGGAGTTCGCTGCGTGGCCACCGAGAACACGAACACTCCCACCTGCGACCCCACCGCGATCTACCTCACAAACCCCGATCACTCCCACCTTCGCATGGTCCGACACGCGCACCGCCACATGTCGGAACTCCGCGGCCTGCACGGCACTGCCCAGCAGCGCCGGCTCCGACAGTCTGTGCAGCGCGCCCGTCCGCAGATCCACCACGGCGAGGGAGTTTCGTCCGTCCACGACCGGCACGCAGTGCGCAGGAAGCGCGGGAACCAGCGTTGCCGCCACCTCCAGAACCGTGCCTCCCGAGATGGGGACGGAGCGCAGCGCCGCGGCGGGGAGCGACTGGGTGACGCCGAGCGCAGAGAGCTCGGGGAGCGAAACGCCCTCTCGAGAAACGCCGACGTCGAGAGAAATGAGCTGGAGACCGTCGGTGAGGAGGAGGCGGCGGAGATCGGAGGCGAAGACGGCGCTGCGGATGGCGTTCTGGCAGAGCCCGCCGTTGGCGAAGGCGAAGGCGGGAGTGAGGGAAACGAACTCGTTGGAGGCGTCGAGCGCGAGCGTCCAGCAGATAGCCAGGTTCTGCGAGTTGAGCGCGACGACTTGGATCTCGCTCGATGCGCGCTGGTAGTTCTGGGAGTGAGGAGAAGAGAAGAAGAGAGACGAGGCAGCCGTCGACGCGGGCTTTGTAGGGGAGGAGGAATTGGACGTTGAGGAAGGGAACGGAGTCGCGGATGGCGTTGGAGATCGTGTCGAAGACGCAGAGATTCCCGTTCGTTCCGATGAGCAGGTAGCGGCCGTTCAGCGGCAGCACGCAGTTCGCTTGCAGGTTGCTCAGATGGCTGGGATGGAGGGAGAGGAAAGGGGAAACGTGGAATAGAAAATGCTGACGGAGGTGTGGGCGATGTAGTCGATGATCGCGCAGCCCTGGCTGAACACAGCGATCACGAATTGCGACGACGCGGGGCTGTAGCTGCTGTTGTTCGACCAGAGAAGCGTGTCGTTGTCGTAGAATTGCACGTGGCGAAGACCCGACATGGGGGTCACAGACGCATCGGATGTGCTGGGGGTGAGTCACTTTCCGAAAGAATCGGATACCGGTTCACTGGAGGGATTTCAGGGTTCTTCACACATTCATTGATCAGCTCCACTGTGTCGTTGAATAATTGCTGAAAATGAAATAGTATTGAAACGCCTCCTACCACTGCCGATGTTCTGTACACAATCTTTCTCGCTTCGTAGTCCCACACAACGATGTTATCCAGCGCATCGCCAGTGACCACAAGAGATTTTGTAGGATGAATATCAATCGATATATAGTCCGCAACGCTCTACGGAGTCAATGAATTCCTATCCAGAAACTACGCTGACATCGTGATGCTCAGGAAGAGTCGCGTAAAAAGCGCACTCCGTTACAATTCCTTTATATGCTTCTTCAACAATTGATTCCTACAAATAGCGGTGAGAAGGAGTTGCGAAACAACCAAACACACAACCTACAGGCGTCTTTGCACCTCCTTTTGCTCCTGCTTGAGTTTTAGCATCCATGGTTTCAAATAATCTTCTTCACTAAGAAAACTACAACGAGGATGATAGATTTGGGAAAATGCGATCCTGAACGAAATACCCGCGATTTCTGGAATCTGAATGAAACAAACAAAAACACAAATCTTAATATCCACGAGCAGGAACAATAGAAAATAACGGGTGCTGTGACACCATTCGGGCAATCATCCCAAAACTACTGTAGTTCGTAAGTACCAAATACTCGCAACGACTCAACACATTCAAATCGACCACGGCTCGACGGAACTCCATCAAATTCGCCGATTTCTGCTGAGAGTGACCTCTTCGATGACTTGATCCCGACAACACGCGTGAAGGGTATAATTCGCGCAGCTTCCGCTCGGCTTTGGAGGAATCCGTGCTCACATACCACCGGACACGAGAAGCTTCGATCCCTCTCTGGATGCGATAGGCTTCAGCAAAATCGATAAATTTTTGGAGTGAACCCATCTTCAAAAATGTATGGCTGTCCGCAAAATCGGAACCACCCGAGCCCATGCGAATTTGAAAACCGATCAAATGGAAACCCTCCGCTTTCGATAGAATGAGGTCCGTACTCCGCTGAATCAACACGTCCGGTTTAAAAAAGAGTCGAACCGCTGTCATCAGCGAGAACTCGGTGTAGAAGGTTTTGTGCAGCTCGTTCAAACTGTTTTCGATGTCTAAAGCGTTCAGATTCAGCGAGTTTTGTGATGTGCTCGATTGGCTGGGTGTATTCATGGTAATGAGAGAACGATTCAAGGAAGGCACCAATCCTGCCTGCTCGAGCTGGCTATCAAATCGCATCGAAGGGATCATTCGATTTGTAAAGTCATAATAGGCGGTGATGAGTAAATTCGGCTCCGGAACCAGCGACTCCAACGACTTCTGCTTCAGTTCCTTGTAAGAAGGTTTGCAGCCAGACCAGCGGATTTTCCACTGCGTGTAGGACTCGATCGGCTCGCCATCTGAATGTAAAATAGAAGAAAAAGGAGAGTGGAGTACAAGTCAAGTTCGTGCCAATCGACACAAGAGGATGTACAAACGTCTCTACATAGGCAGGCCAGTTAACTACTTGGTGATTCATGCATTGCCATCAAATACTTTGAAAAGAAGCATTCAAAATGCGGGAAATAAGGAATGAACTAGCTAGAGCTAGCAAATTGTTTCCAAACCCCGTATCTTTCATGTTTTGGAAGACCACATTTCTGTCATACACATTCATTGCCTTATTGAGCGTAGAGATCTCGACCTCCAGCCGCTTTTGTCGTTCCTCCGTATCCAACCGCTTATAATTCCGTTGTACATACAATATTCTTTCAAACGGAGTCATATTACTTCGGAAAATGTCATACTCACTGATGAACGGCTTCAACTTTTCTTCTTTCATCCTATTTTCACTATCTCTTCGATTCCGCAGCCCAGGAAACGAAGCGTAGCTCTCTTCCGCCTCCTTTGGCGTAACCACCATTAAGAACCCCGCATCTGTATTTAAACGCGGATTATGAATCAAAAGAGAAAATAAAATACATAAAAGGAGCACCGGCAAGTATGTGACCAAGTTGTTCTTCATTCCTGGATGTGAAACACAATTTGGTCACACCAAAAATGAAAGAAATAAAGGTCAAGAAAAAAACTGAAACAAGAATTACGCACGGATGACAATCTTACTATTACCTATCTATTCTAAATGGTGCGACGTGAGCGAGCGCGATAATCTGATTGACACGTACACCAAATCAATACTCGGGGAAACACGGTTATTCTAGAAACTTTGCAGATATTATAACGGAATATTCCAGAACCATTAAACTGCTCTCATATTAATATTATAAATGAATTTCTTTGACTTCGGAGGTTTCCCTGGAATGGGAGGAATGGGAGGCATGGGAGGCATGGGAGGAAGCGGCCGAGCCACACCCGTCGACAACTCTAAGCTCTATGAAGTTTTGGGAGTATCGAAGTCCGCCACTCCCGATGAAATTAAAAAAGCGTACAGAAAATTAGCTATAAAGAACCATCCTGATCGTGGCGGTGATCCGGAGAAGGTAATAGCCAAATGGCTTTTCTAACAAATAGTTCAAGGAGATTTCCGCTGCTTACGATATTCTTTCCGACGAAAAGAAGCGAGCTCTTTATGATGAGGGTGGTATTGAGGCAGTGAACAGCGGTAGTGCCGGAGGCGGTATGAACCCGTTCGATATTTTTGTAAATGGAAGCCGTGGTTCCAATCGCCGTCGCCGAACCGAAAACATTACCCGTGAGTACCCTATCTCCCTCGAGGACCTTTACAAAGGCAAAATCTCCAAATTCCGCGTCACACACAAAATCATCTGTCCCACCTGCAAGGGCGTGGGCGGTGCCGACGGCTGCGAGCGTCCCTGCTCCGTCTGCAACGGCCGCGGCGTGCGCGTGCGCGTGATCCAGCACGGCAACGTGATCCAGCAGATGCAGTCGCCGTGCACGACGTGCAACGGGAAGGGCCGCATCATCGACGACGCCAAGCGATGCAAGAACTGTCTGGGCAACAAAGTGGTGTCGGAGACGAAGACGATCGAAGTGGCCGTGGAGCGCGGCATGAAGGACGGGCAGAAGATCGTGCTGCCCTCCGCAGCGGACGAGGCTCCCGACGCGGAAGCGGGCGACATCATCTACATCATCCGGGAGAAGCCGCATCCAGTGTTCAAGCGGCAAGGCCCGGACCTGATGATGCGGTACGAGATCACGCTGGCGGAGGCGCTGTGCGGGTTCGAGCGCTACATCGAGCAGCTGGACGGGCGCAAGCTGCACGTACGCGTGCCGGCGGGGAAGGTGGTGCGGCCGGGCGAGGTGATGGTGATCAGCGGAGAGGGTATGCCGGTGTACGGCGCGCCGTTCCAGAACGGAAGCCTGTTCGTGCTGTTTGAAGTACTGTTCCCGGAGAAGATGTCGGCGAGCGACGTGGAGGTGCTGAAGAAGCTGATGAACTACCCGCCGCAGCCGAAGGCGGTGCCGAACTGCGACGAAGTGTCGATGACGGAGGGGGATGAGAACATGTTCGGACAGAGCGTGCAGGAGCCGCAGCACAACGAGAATGTAGGAAATGGAGAGGAGGAGGTGAGGCGTGTAGGCGTATGATGAGGACGAGGATGAGGAGCCCAGGGGAACGAACGTGGCGTGCCAGAGCCAGTAAGCTGGTTTTGCTTGTGCGGTGTTTGTTGGAAAACGGAGGGGAGGATGCAGAGGAGCAGGGCCATAAAGCGATTGATTGATTGGGCTTGGCGCATGCATGCATGCATGCAAGTATGCACTCGCCGGATTCGCATCAACGTCCTCGTTTGGGTGGAAACAAACAACGCAAAGCTATAAACAATACGCACGAAGAATCTTGATGTCTTGCAAAGGACGGTCGTTTGAATCCGTGGGAATGCGACCCAAGTGGTTTATCGTTTTCATTCCCTCGCTCACACGACCAAAGATTGTATGCTTTCCTACGCCTCACCGCCTTCACCGAATCCGACCATCCAACCACGGAGTGGGAGCCAATGTGATGAAGAACTGGCATCCATTTGTATTGGGACCCGAATTTGCCTACACTCACACCAATTCAGAATTTAAACCATCGCCAAAATTCCAGCGCCCGTGAACCGCAATGTGCGAGTGATCTCATCCTCAAAAGGGTGACTAGGAACCAACTCATCGCAACTCATACCCCCAAATTGACTCAGAATATCTTCCTGTGCCTGTCGGATCACCACCTTGAATCATAAAATTCTAAGCTTAACTCCAAAATGCACTTCGACTGGAATGATGCGGTGGAACTTAATTCCGTTATAAAAGCCCTTCTTTACTAATCCAATAAAGTTTTCACACGTTTTCGGCGCATGATTATAGTACAATTCCAAAACAAATGGTCCCTACGCCTTTATCACCTCTCCGTCCGATCCTTACAACCGAAGTTTCAAATTGGATGTGAGTCACTTGCTTCGACATTTTTTTCTAGTGTGTCTATTCGTTGAGAGTGGGACATCTTGCGATAAAAGACCTCTAATCGATTGAAGAGTTGAGTGGAAACTAGGCCAATTTGAACGAGAATAGCGTCTATCCCCTGATAATAACGGTGCATAAAATGGGAGCCGTGCCTATTTCTCCAATCTCTATTCTGTCTAAATCTCTCTGATTTGCTATGAGTGTCCAGACTAGAGCTACAAAGTTTGGTTATGGAGTGTTTACTGTACCATTCCGTGACAGTGGTTGACGTTTTAGTCCATTTGGATGGGTCTTAAGCAGCGAGGCCTTCGAGGAACCTTGAAGCAGCTTTGTGCCATGGGAGAAATTAAAATCGGTACACTGAAGGGACAGGATGAACATGGAAACATGTACTACGAGAATCTGAACTATCAGTTTGGTATTCTTCCAATCGGTAGAGTTTATGGATAGGAAGACATCGATGGGTCGAATACCAGGGATGGAACTGGAGATTTGATTTTGACCAAATCTCTCCTTCTTGGTTGGGTTGGCTTGCGAGTTCGTACGATGAGACCCCTGATGAGGTACTTCTAGTATCCGATTCTGAGTTTGTAGCAAGTGGCTTTGCGTAACCAGAAATGCAAGGAGATTATGGATCTGACCACTCTCCACAACTCGGCATTGAAGTGTGAAAGTAATTTAGGCGGTGTGATTAAGCCTCACGAGGAAAATCAAACCCGTACTCGATTAGGGATGGCTCGATCGTAGAAATGCGTTATCGTTCCTACAAGCGGTGGGGATTTAAGGATGCCAAGCCGGAGGACAGCTACTGGCTCATGGATACGCATCCTATGTACATGGAGCAGGCTCGTAAGATTGATCCTTATGTACGGACTTGATTTGTGTGTGTGTATAATGAATAGATCGAGAAGTGGGATCCGAAGAGTGTCTAAAGAAATAGCCGTTACGATTGTTGTATGTGTGTTTGTTGCCAAACCAAACCATTTTGGTATCAAATCAGTCAACTTGGAGGAAGCGTTCCGTCTTTCAACATTTGCTCCGCATCGAAGTACAGCGATGCGTTCTCGGCTTCGTCACGAGGCAGAGGGAAGAGGGTGGAGGCGAAATGAGCACAATCCAGATCGTGGCATTTCTGAAAGAAGCACGAACGAGAAAGATCCAGAATGAAATAGATGTGATTGCTTTTATGCGCTCTTCCAATATTCATGCACCATCGATTCCCACCGATCTCCAATCGAACTTTCCACCCCTCGTCGTCCTTCCACACGCTCCAAGAGCGGATGAATCCTCCCTGCAATCGACTCACTGCCTCCCATTGATTCAACACACTGCTCCACAAAGAAGAAGAAAACGGAAACGGATCGTTGCGCATTCGAAGCGTATTGGACGCGTGTCCTGAAGCGCCAATTCGATGTTTGTAGGACGAAGCAGAACTCGTCGGTGCTTTCCACCCACCAATAGAACTGTCCAAATCGAACATGGATGGGAGAAAACTGCAGTGTTTCTTGTAAAACGAATACTCTACAGTCAACCAAGCTGCGTTAAAGAAAAAACCTGTCACAAAGGTGTAGGGAAGGAAAAACTTCCATTGGGAGAACGAGGCCGCGGCTTTCAACGGCTTTTTGCTCTTGTCCTTGCTGAACTTCGAGGACATGAGGAGCCGCATTGCGCGGTTCTTCGTATAGACAGCCATGTCTGCAACAAACACTTTCTTTTCTTTCCCGTTCACGAAGAGCGGGAAAAACTCGCAGGTCGGCGAGGCGAAGAGCGAATCAACCGCCCAATTCATGAACCCTTTGAGCTCTTTGTAGTTTCGGAAATAGAGATTGTTTCGATTGAGCAGCACATGGCAACTAAACTTGCTTTCATTCTCACTGAAAATGCACGCGAAGTGTTCTGGAACCACGCGGATTCCGTACTTGTAAAACAAACAAAACGACACAAATCGAAGCAGCAGCGAGAGAGTCGCCGAAGGATCGATTCCTGGATTGAATTCATACATGAACTAGTTCGAATTGGTTGAAAAGAACCCACTTCGACGTCCATGTAGAGTTTACAAGGCGAATGTTCTCGAATAATCTCGTAAGCGTGACACAAGGGATTGTTGTCTGAAGATGGCGTGCCGTTATCGCTAACAAACTCATAGTCGTGACTGAATTCGGCTTCGTTGAGTGCTAGAAACACGCGCTGCTGTGTGGAAACCACTTCGTAGGAGAAAAGCTGCAATGAATTGGGTTCAATGGAGAAACTTTGATGTCGTTTTGATAGGATCGGTATTTATCGATGAAATCCATCGCTAATTGCTGGCTGTAGAACGTTCGATCCAAATACGAAGACGCTGTGTTGTGAAATAATATGAAAAATAAACTAACAATTCAACACTTTGTCTACAGGAGAGAGGGGTTGCTCAGATTGAGAGGGAGGTGTGAAGCTTTGCGTTTCCAAGTATCTCTGTAAACGGGTCCGTGGAGGTGTTTTCATCGGAGATTGGGACAAGACGTGATTGTGCTTTCGCGACTCCCAAAAGATATCTTGTTTTCTATTATATCTCTTGAGCCTAAATCAAATAAAATCCAAGTATGAAAAGTACGCGCTAATCACTTCTCTTCGATTTTCAAGAATGTGGTCTAAGATTGAGTTTGCATGGCACTATCCTACAGGTTGCACTGCTAGTTACTGATTGAAAATACTCATGTAACTGAGAACAGAGGGCGATTCCTTCTTGATAGGTAAACTTGATGACGAGTTTGATTTCGACGTCGTTTTTCACATAAAAGGTAATTTGGAGATATCTATGTCACGAAGCACAAAGGCAGCAAACATTGCTAAGATCATGGTCTTCACTTCTAAATTGGAAATTCGGTGGTAGTGGATGCGCAACACGGAAGAGACGCCGCACTTCCGGATCTCGATAACCAGTCCTTCGCTCCCTGGAACAATCCCCACCAAAACAGGCACATCCGTGACAATGTATAAACAAGACTCCACGACAGCCTGTCCCAAGAAAAAGGACATACAGTTTCCAACAAAAAATGACAAATCTCAATAACTCGTAATCCTCGTGCAACCGCGCTCAAATTGGCTCCAATGGCGCTTCCTCGACGACATGTCACACTCTTCAAGTTCTCAAGCGCATTCCCGATATTCCATTGCGTGGCATCATTACACAGCGCGACCAAGTGTTTACAACTCGAAAACGTGCGGTCCATCATCCACACTTCCTTCAGCTTCGGCAGATCTACTCATCACTCTTCCATTGCACGTACTCTCCAGATGCAGAACACTGGCGTTCGGCGCGGTCAGCGCGCTGAATGAAAGCGTTTCCAAGCCGGGCAATTCCTTAAACACGAACATTGGGCAATTCCGGAACTGCATTTGCGGCGCTTCCATGGCTTTAGAATCGCGGAAAACAACCTTTTTGAGTTTTGGGAGGTCTACAAACTCTATTTTCAACGCCTTCAAAGCAAACCGGTAAGGAAAAAGCCGGAAAAATGGGCACAGGAGCCGTCATCGCAAATGCAAATCGACGATAACTGCGGACAATGCATGACCCACAGCGCGCCCCGCGCATTTTCCCTCGCAAACGCGCCGTTTTTGAATTCGATCTTCTTCAAATCCGCGAGATTCGACAGCACCACATTCACCACGTTGCTGCTTTCGCACTTGTCGAACACCAAAGTCTTCACCAAGCCCTGCAGCAGCACGAACTCCCGCGGGAAATTCACGTCCTGCGTGAGTGTGATTTTGGTGGCACAGTCGAAAAAGAGCGGGCAGATTTCTTTTCGAAGCAGCGGGCTGCAGCATCGGATCATGTCATTGGTGATGACCCAGTCGGAGTCTTTGTACTGGCGAACGAAATCTTCGGGGAAGGGCTTGTCGTTGAGGTAGGATCGGTACGAAAGAGTATCGTTCAGCGCTTTCTTCACGAACGTTCCGAAGCGTTTTCCGTTGATGAACACGCCCTTTTCGTTCTCGCCGTCGAAGAGTTCCTGGAAATCGTCGGTTTGGTAGATCTCCGTCCAGCCGTTGAACGCGTTGTTGCACATGAACGTCTTCACCACTTGGTTCTGCGTCACGAGGCGGCCTGCGCCGTTGGGACACTGCGATTCGTCCACTTCGCCGAACCAGTAATCGCCTGCGTCGGATTTGGGGACATATGTCCGGAAATGCGCCGTATGGATTTCGTTGAATGGGTCGATGAGGAAATCGACGTTGCGCTCGATGACGGCGACGCCTAAGGGATTGAAACTGCGGCAGATCGATTGGAATTGCCTGCTGCAGTTGATGAGGATTGCGGTGATGAGGGAAGAGAAGTAGAGGGCGTTGTGCGACGTGATGGAGTTAAGATAAGGAACGTCTGGAACGATGAGAGAGGGAGGAAGAAACAACTCAGTAATGTTAACTCTTTGCAGCCAATGAACGCTTCTTCGAGGGTGCAGTTGCTTAACACGGGAAGATCTGGAAGATGAGAGAGAGAATAAAAAGAGAGAAACGGGAGAATGTTGCGGTTTGCGCGTTGAGGAATGCGAAATGGCCGAGTTTGAGATGGGTCAAACTGGTCAAATCTAGAATGGGAAGAATAAGAAGCAATTTCTGAAGTACTTTTAATCAAAAACGATTTGGCAGACATAAAGGTAAGATCGCCCAACATCAGCGAGGTGAGAGAATGGAGATTGATGAAGGCGAACTCGTCCGCACAAAAGAAACTCGATCCGTTGATAATTCGAGTGTCCTCAATTTGGCCAAGCACAAACGATTGCAGTTGCGGGTTCTCTACAGGTGAATGAATCGATTTTGAAGCGTTCCACCTTTCACGATCAGTTGAGAGAACCAATTGAAGCAGTTGGTTCCGATCTCAACCTTTTCGAGAGAATCGCAATACGCAATGATGCAAACTCGCTGCTTCTGATCCTGTATAGGGATGCCTGGCGAGGAGGAATTGAATGAATCATCTTCGATTATCAATACTTTCAAATTGGGCAAATGGAAGCAAGAAAACTGCTCAACACCCGTAAAGCAATGATTTCGAATCACAATGGTTCGCGCCAAAACATACGGACTGAAATCCACGAATTTCGTGGTGTTCATCACATTCGATTCAATTACAATATCCGAAAGCGTGTACGGCAGCGTATTCAACAACTGCGAATAATCGTTCACGCGCTGTACCTGCTCCCAATTCTCATATCTTCCACGCCATACAGGGACTCCCTGCTTGTTAAATAGCGTGATATTGACGAGACCGTGCTCGTCCCACTCTGCATTACAGAAACAAAGATTCGTTGCATTATCGATGTACTGCCCTTTTCGAAAGGGGCGATCGAATTTGAACGACCCGTACAACGAAAACGACCATTTCTTATCAAAAATACACTCAAAATGCTCTTCGCCTTGGTCCTTTCGCGGATATCGGTCCACAAACGAATCATCAAAATTTCCTTCATAGATACACACTTGTTCGGAATTCAGAACCGCGTAAATTTTCATGACTGAGTCTTTCATTACGCGCTTAATTTCTCGACTTTCGGCAAATCCGTTTTCTTTGATGGTCTGTGTCACATAGGAGAGTGTAAATTCATCCGAATCGATTTGCAGAGAATATCCTTCCGGGCAATACTCGGGAATACTGCGCAGATTGTGAATTAGATAGCAACCTTGTTCGATGACTTTGTCTCCGTCCTTTCGAACCAGCGTATTCTCTCCATCATCATTCAGCAGCTCGTATTCCACGACTCCATCCACATATTGTACATTATAGGTCCTATTGTTTTTCTTATCGATCTTTGTTGCAATTCCGCATTGCACTCCATTATAGAAGTATCCGTAGAGCACCACTTCACCATGTTCGTATTGAAAGTATTCTCCGTGCTTTTCATTATTATGCATGTTAATACGCATGACTAGTTCACCGTTTTGGTAACAACAGACCACTCCGTTTAGTTTTCCATCTCTCACTTCGCCTGTCCAAACCAATAAGCCGTATCTGTTGCGGATTTCAAACTCTCCATTTTTTCGATCTTCAGGAAACTTTACTAGAGTACAATCAGCCAACAATGGACCTGCTTCACCTGAAAGTAGTTTTCTAAATATGATACACTCCGATTATTGCACACAATACATAAATCTCCGGATTTCGCACATATTTATCATCTAACAAGTCAGGTTGCTTTTAACCAAATCTACCATTATCCTTTGCATCCTCTGCTTCAAGCAAATATCTGTTATATCGAGAAAAAGGATCTCTTTTGGTGAAAGACATTTTATGTTTTCAGTTTAGATTTTATGAGTTTAGATTTTGGATTTTTAAAAGTAGGAACGATTAGACGCTGCTTTTTGTGACTCCATGTGTGTGTGAGAGAGAGATCACTTATGCTTAGTGGTACAACAATGTGAATAATAATAATTATTATTATTGTAATTGATGAAAATACACGTGTGTGTAATACAATTGGTAACCATTTCCTTGTTGTATTGTAACAAATACTGTAAAGTGTCAAGTGAAAATATGAGTGATTTTGTGGAACACTTAGTCATGAACATGAAAAAGAAAAGAATACATTATGACTATCATCAGAATACGAGAGTGTCATTTCTTTATTGATGATAAATATTATGTACATAAGAATAATAATACGTCGTGATCTAGCTTATCAAAATACTTGGGAGATGGGTGTTGAGCAAACTCTTCTGTTTGTAGTGTTAATTCTATTATAAATATACATACCGATTCTAGTCCCTTGTTACATAAAGATTTTATATGTAAATCCCTTGAAGATGTCACATTCTGTACAGTGCGTATTCATGGGGATCCATGTAGTAGTTCAATTACTCACCTGCCACTCCTCATTTCTAAACAAAATCCCAAATTGAATTGCTCCTAAACATACAGAAACTTTCAGAAACATATTAATTTCTTTTTTTGGGTAGTGGAGTCGACTATAATGAGTAATCCGGAAGTTCAAATATCACAATACACGGATGCGATAAAACTACTAAAGAAAAAGTGTCAAGCTCTAAAGACGCAGCTCGCACGTAAAATTGATTTTGAGTGACTTTAACAAATAGAATCAAAAGCAGTAGCGGATGGCTCTCGTCTTTTGCTTCTTGCGTTTCTGGAGTACATTTCATCTCCATTTTCAGGTGCTTTGCAATTGTTATGTATGATTTGTAGATACAAATCAACAACCCGAACTGAATTTCGAGTCTTTAAAAGTCTGGTGGGATTCCATCGTATAAATAATAAATTCCGTTAATTCTTAGAAAGAGAAAAAAGCAGAAGATCAAAAAGAAGCGGAAAAGCCAACTGAGGCGAATGTCTCTCCTGCCAAGAGCACCGAGGAGCCGAAGCCCCAAGTGGAGCCTTCCCTTTCCTCATCTCCCAACGAAGAACTCTTGGAGCTTCGCGATCGTCTCAAAGAGCTGGAGGTTGAGAAGAACAATTTGGAATACACGCTGAGTCGTCGCCAGAACGAATTCATCGCTCTCAACGAATCCTACGCAGCGCTCAAAGCGGAGTACGCGAAGAGCCAGACGGAGTTGGAGTCCTTGGGGAGCGAGAACCGTCGCATTCAGTCCGAAGCGAGTTCAATCCACAACCAGATCAACAGCATGTTTCTCCAACTCACTTCCTTCCTCGCTGCGCCCGACGATCAGCTTCCCGCCAAGCGCGAAGCCATCCAGCAGACCCTCCAGCCCTTCCTCCTCTCCCCCAGCCGTGTCACTGGTAGTGAAACTGCCAATGAAAATGAAACTGCCAATGAAAATGAAACTTCCAATGAAAATGAAACTACCAATGAAAATGAAACTTCCAATCAAACCGAATCTCCAAACGAAAATGAATCTTCCAATCAAACCGAATCTTCCAATCAAACCGAATCTTCCAATCAAACCGAATCCCCCAAGGAGGAATCTTCGCTTTCCTCCTTTTTGAACCGCGTGATTTTGCTTCGCGAGTCGGAGTCGAACGCGCGCGCGACGCTTTCTTCGCGCCAGGAGCTCCAAGCGACGCAGGAGGCGCGCATCCGCCAGCTAGAATCGGAAGTAGAAGAGAACCAATCGCAGCTCGCGAAGCTGAAGCGGCAGATCCACGCGTTGGAAGCGTCTGGCGGCGTGGACGCGGAGACGGAGGCGCAGCTCGAAGACCTCGAAGAGACCAACGCGAATCTCCGGCAGGCGCTGCGTGGTGCGAAGACGAACATGGAGCAGCAGATGCAGCGGCAGCAGGAAGCGGAGGCGCAGCTGGTTCGCTTGCAGACGGAGCTGGTGCAGCTGCAGGAGACGAGCAACGATATGGTGCAGCAGACGATGGCGGCGTGCGAAGCGAAGACGAGCGAGCTGGCTGCGCGCGCGCGGACCGCGGAGGCGAAGCTGCAGGCGAAGGAGGAGGAGCTGGAGTCGCTGCAAGCGGGGTGGGAGCGGAGCGTAGGAGAGTACGAGAAAGAATTAGCGACGCTACGCGCGCGGAAAGTGGCGGTGGAGCAGCAAGTGACGGTGTCGGAGAAGTTCTTGGAGGACCACAATCGGCTGCATCGCGAGGAGCTGGATCGCGTGCAGAGCGCGCTGCAGGCGGCGCAGGAGGAGGTGCAGGAGCTGCGTTGCCAGGTGCTGGAGCGCGAGGCGGAGCTGGAAGCGAACCAGCAGAGCGGCGAGGAGACGCGAGAACAGCTGGCGGCGCAGGTGGCGTCGCTGACGGAGCAGCTGCGAGCGATGCAGGGCAGGCTGAGCGCGCAGCAGAGCAGCGTGCAGAGCGTGAAGAAGCGCGAGGCGGAGCTGGAGAAGGAGATGAAGGCGCGGCTGGAGGCGAGCATCGCTGCGATGGAAGAGAAAGACAAGGAAATTATTCGGCAGCAGCAGCGAGGATACGAAGAGGAAGTGAGCGATGAGGAGAAGAGATTGAGGCGTAGCTTGCGCGCTTGCGAGAGCAGATCAGCACGCTGATTCACCAGCTGGAGGAGGAGCGGAAGAGCAACAAGAAGATGCGGGAGACGGTGGCGCAGCTGAATGAAATCTTCGAAAGACAGGACAGACAGATCGAAATCCTGCGGTCCGACGTCACGCTGCGCGACAGCGAGCTGCTCGCCGGGAAGGAGCAGATTCGGAAGCTATCGGTGCTGCTGAGCCAGAAGATGGCGGGACAGTTGTGGACTGTTTGTAACAAACACATTAATCATTAATTCTTCTCTACCTCCATCTCTTTGGGATTGAGGCAGCTTTGGACATAGGAATTCACTACGGAGAAGGTCGCGATGTCGATGGCGTCCACGATGATGTCCACCAGATCGGGATTGGTCTGCGGTTCATGCAGAAAGCAAGTGGCTTACTTTGTCGAGGGCCGATTCGCAGCGCTCGTTTATGATTTGCAGGACTTTGGCTAGCTCGTTGGGAGGCAGTTTGAACAAAGAATCGACAAACAATCGCTTTTGTTCGATACTCGGCTCTCTATGCTTCAAACGATGGAGAAAGCGGGTACCGCTCCGCTTCAGGAACTAGACATCAATCTACGTCAACAATACTACTTTGTTCCTCAATCTTTGAAAAACGCTCTTCAAAGAGTTCGGAAAGCTTTTTGCCCACCTTGTAAACATCCGATATTTCTTGGTTGTATGTGCAGCAGTTTCTCCAGATGAGACGCATGTCGTACGCAAATTCGTAAACGTCTTTATAGTCTCCGTTTGTCAAGTGCATCTAGTATGATCAGCAATTCAGAAGCACAATACGTTCACCGTCCCGAGATCCATGGGCTGACGAATAATCTTTGGGTAGTCATCCAGTCCCCACTCCTTCCAAAGCACTGGCTGTAAAAAAGGCTCTATGAATTCATTTGAACTATAATGCGCTACTTGAATCGGGATTTTGTAAAAATTCGTTCAAAATGACCTTGCACTGATCCAAGAGTGAAGCCATAAGTCGTTTGTGATGTTCTATGTTGTTGATTTGTCCTGGATCCTTGCTTTTGGAATTCCACAAAATCGGGAAATTTTGTTTTCCTAAAGTTATTCCCCTTGCAGCCATGGGTACGCTTTTCTTTAGTTAAAATTGACGAGTATAGATCCTCTTCTTGGAGCTGATTCAAAAGACTTAACTTGGTACGTTCATTTAGTCAGAGTGTCTTATTTCCTAGCAAAGACTATTACTTCGATTCATATGCGCACTTTAGTATTCATGAAGTGTGATTTTGGGAAGAAAATAACGAGTAGGAAATGCTGAAGGACAAGGTTCGAACATTAACGTATCGAAATGCAATTATGAACAACAAGCATTTGTTTAAAGATAAGATAGTGCTGGAAGTAGGCGCAGGAACCGGAATTATGTGTATGTTTGCTGCAAAAGCCGGAGCAAAGTATGATTCTTCGCACTCCTATTCACGATAGGCATGTTTATGGAATCGAATACAGTGCTATCTCCAGACAAGCCAAGGAAATTGTGAAGGAGAATGGTTTACAAGTAATTATGGGTTGTTTTTTAAATTGATTTCAGAACATCATTACAATCATCGAAGGAAAAGTCGAAGAAGTCGAGCTCCCCGTGGAGAAGGTGGACATCATCATCTCCGAGTGGATGGGATATTTCTTATTCTACGAGAGCATGCTGGAAACGGTTATTTTCGCTCGAGACAAGTGGCTTGTAGATCATTCATGGACATGGTGTTTGTGTAGAAGGAAGGCGGTTTGATTTTCCCGGACCATGCGAAATTGATGCTTCTGGGCATAGAAGACGAATCTTACCATCATGAGATGATCGATTGTAGACATGTTGCTCTCTTAGCATGGTAGTTTGGGACGACGTCTACGGCTTTAAAATGAACACGATCAAACAAATCGCTTTGTTCGAGCCCCTGGTGGACATCGTTCCGGATACGCAGCCCATCACCGATTCGTGCTGCATTTTCGTGGCGATTTTTGTCATTTTTGACGCGTAGGATTTGGATATCAACACGGTGAAGAAGGAGGACTTGGACTTCACGTCTCCGTTCGTGCTGAACGTGAAGTACTCGGAGTACATGCACGCTTTTGTGGGGTATTTCGATATCATTTTCCCGGGCGGCGTTCAGTTCAGCACGTCTCCGTTTAGCAAGGAGACGCATTGGAAGCAGACGGTGTTCTATTTCAAGGAGAAGATGTGGTGCTGCGACGGAGATGTGGTCAAGGGAACGCTGAACTGCAGGCGCGTGAAGGAAAACCCGCGCGATTTGGATATTGCGATCGAGTGGGAGCTGCATCAGAAGGGAAATGTGATCAAGGAGAATCAGAAATATCGAATTCGATGAGGTGTTTGTTGGAATGAAAGGTGAATGTGGAATGGAAAGAGAAGGGAAAGCAATTGAAAATAGAGACCTCGGAAGAAGGATGTGAAGGAATGAGGATTGAAGATGGGATGTCGATTGAATGATTGAATCGATTGGAATGAAATATAGAATGAAGTATTGGAATAGAATATTGGAGTAAAAGAACAGCATCGAGACTTCTCAGCGAGTCACCCACACTGGTACTAACTCGACTCATGATGACTTAGCTTCCTAGATCGGACGGGTTAGGGCGCTTTCCATCAGATATGGCCGTTCTCATTTAGCTTTCATTCACTAACCTATTTAAATATCACATTCTTATCATCATTCACTCTCTCTCTCTTTTGTTTTCTCACCCATTCATTCGATTCAACAAACAAAACAAATAACAATCACACAACTAGCCATTTCCTCTCCTCTACTGGCTCGTTACCCACTCATCGACCACCACTTTCGGCTCTATCTGATATCCCAAAACCTCCGCTTCGTCCTCCCAAACCGGCGAAACGGGAAGCAACCAATCCAGCGTGAACTTTCCCTTTCCTCCAAACGTTTCACTGAGTCCTTCTCGCAAGCTTCCTTCATACGAAATGCCCTTCAGCACGTCAATCGCTACAATTGAAAGCCGATTCATCACAAACAAGTCGTTCCGGACTGAATCACTGAAAACGTATCGCAAAACATGGTACACGTGAAGATCGTAAAGAAGCCCCCGAATATGACCACAACGCCGTTCCCGATCATACGGAACGACTCTTCGAATTCGACGGTCATTCGATGAATGAAGAAAAAAACGCTCAGCATTGTTCCCACGGAGCAGTACAGAAACGTGTAGACGAGGAACAGGACGAAGAATTTGATGTTTGCTACGCCCACGCAGTTGTTTACCCAGCTGGATTTAACACGGAGAGAATACAAAATACGGGCAATGGTGGTCCATTTTCACAATGCACCTACCACACTCGCTGCAATGGTGCGCGCGAGGTGGCTTGAACTGGTTGCATTTTACACACATATTGAGCCTCTCCTCATCGGTTGCAGAAGGCAAAGGAAGAGCGTTATGTGGAACGGTGCCCGGGTCAGCGAAAATACAGCGGATATGAGACCATTCGGACATAATTCCAAAGACGATGAACCAAACATGCAGAAAACAGCGTAATGGATAAGAGGAAACGACACTGGAGACCGAACTGATCTATTTGTAATAGAGGGGCAGCAACAAGTACGTTCATAAATATATTGCTCCAAATAAACAAACCGTGGATAAAAATGCACGTGAAGATGCCGCAGCAATTCCAGTTGAACCAGTACCGTGAGTCCTCTCGAGTACTACATAAATACTTCCCCATCGTAAAAAAAGTGACATTGAAAACAAACAGAGCAATAAGCGTTTGTTACCAGAACAGTGTCAGTGCTATCGTACAAGGGCTTTTTGGGGTTATTCCTCATGAAGTACCATTCAAAGGTTAATTCTCGTCCAAGCAACACGGAGTTCGCTAAAGGGATCCACAAAAACACAGGAGAAAACAGGAACGAAATGTTATGAAAATTAATCCAACACAAGTATAACTTGACAAGGAAAAAGACTCCAACAAAGTAAATTACGCACAAAACGTGCGCAAAGAATCGGCTCCACCTTGATGCCGAGGTTGCTTCCGGAAGCGCAGGGTGAGGAATCATGAACACTCCAAAATATACCATGAGAGGAATATAATAACAGAACAGAGTCATGACATGCCACAAATACAAGTCAAGCCATAAGCTATAGTTTCCATTCTCCGTGCCGAAAAGAAACAGAATTCCCCACAAACTTTGGATTCCAAATTCGTTCGGGAATTTTCCGAACGACCAAAACCCGAAAGTCTGCCAGAGCAGCGAAATGGTCAAGAAATATACAACCCATCGATCCGAACAAACCAATAAAAATGCCTTGAAGACTAGAGGCGTGTTTTGGAATGTCTTTCTTCGGAAGAGGTGATGATACACATGGTATCTGCTTTCCGCGGAATCATCCAGTCTGTAAGGAAATATGTGAAGTAGAGTGAGTCTTCCGATGATAAAAAACAAAACAAAGAGAAGGGGTAGTGTATACGCCAGAGTGAACAACACAGGAACCAAGTACGAATTCACTAAAAACCCGCCCACATTTCTTCCAGGACTTGTCGCATCCAGAATGTCCAGCGACGACAGCGACGAATTCTGCATCAAGAACGACGAGAGCGACTCAGGCGTTAGAAAGAAGGGATGCGAATAGTTGGCTGTGTAGAGTCCGTTCGAATAACTCACCGTCAAATAGTGGATGCCTTTGATGTATTTCGCTGGGTTCCATCGAATTCGGAAGAGATGAGGATTCGTTTCGCTCGGTTCTGCGCGCGACGACACGGTTTCGCCGTCGATGGCGCAGACAATACGATCGGCTTGCACGACTCCGTTCCTTCCGATATCATAAACGAAAATGTGGACAAAAGGAGACGTTCGCGCGAATTCCAAACTCTGCGAGTCCGAGAAAAGCTGTGAATTCTATGGATGGGAAAGAGTGTGATGGAATACGGGTGGATTGGTAACGAAAAGAACGGGTTTCACGAGGATATCGTCCAGCGAAATGTCGAGATAGGACGCAAAATCGTGATCGATCACGAACAATCGAAATCTTCCATTCATTCATTCATTAGTTCAACAAACATTCGCTTTCGTTTGAAGTCGCGAACCACGCATTCGATGGTTCGCGGGTTGATCTTCGCCTGCAACTCAGTCCGATCCACCGAGCCAACGTTCGCGCGGTTCCCCAGCGTGGCGTGCACGTGTCCGGAGAGCACGAAGGAGGGCGCGTTGTCGCGGTAAATCGCGTGCAGCGCGGGCGAATTGAGGTACATCGTGGGGTAGTGCGTGAACACGATGGTGTGGTTGCAGGATTGGCTGGAAAGGAGGAAAGAAAGAGAGAGAAAAACGTGTCGGAACGGAGAGAATCGAGGAGCTTCGCGCGGTTTACGGAAGAAACGTAGCCGAAATACGTCATCATCACGCCGGGGGCTTTGAGTGGAATGAAAGAAAAGAGAAGGAGTACAGGGACTCAGCGTTGCGTCGAGACCGATGAAACAGTAGCGGCCGAATGGTCGGGTATAGACCTTGTTGAATACGGGTCCCTCGTGTCCCCAGGTGCTGTAGTTGTAGTAGCTGTGGCGAATGCCGCTTTGCTGGTTCGAATTATCGTGGTTTCCTCGAATATCGAGCCAGAATGAGTTGTTGAAATACCCATGTTCGACAAGGGTAGATTTGTACATTTCCCATTCTTCAACAATATCGCCACCTGAAAAATAAGAATGAGCAAAACAAAAGGTGTACTCTTCAATCCCTCAATCCATCCATCCGTAATATCGCCCGTGTGAATCACGATATCGGGATTGATAGCAGGAACTACGGTGGATGCAAAGATGCGAAAGTTTATATGAGTCATGGATGTTGGAAGATGGGATAAATGTGTGTCCGATATTTGGATAAAGGAAAAGACATCGTCTTCATCTACAATCAATAGAAAAAGCAGGAAGAATACTGGAGACGTGATTGTCTGCAATGGAAAGTGCGAGCAAACAAAGTAGAAAGAATATCCAAGCACTCGAAGCCATCTTTATAGAATAGAGATTCGAATATATCCGGATGGTATACAAACAAATTTCAACAATATCACTAAACGAAAAGAGTTTTTTTTGGCGAAGTGATATGAAAATGGAAATCCCGCGGGAGTGATTGTGAAGAATCTACGGAAACGAAGGTTGTGTTCGGTTAATTGAATCTGGCTATTTTGGGTTTTAGATTGTGTTGTGAGTTGGTACGCAGAAGTTGAGATCAATCCTTTGGAAGTGAGCGACTTTTTAGGAGAACAACGATATTTCTGAATATAGAATGATTGAATTATATGGTGTTTGATAGATTATTGCAAATTGAGAGCAAGTAAAAGAGTAAATATCGAGTATCAGGCAATGATACCAAACCAATGATTGAATGATAAACTATATATATATATATTGGATATACATCTCATTATTTTTCTCTACTCTATATTGTTAAAAACTCGTGTTCCAACTCTCCATGTACCCTATCGTTCTGCGTACATTCCTGGATAACACTATTTAAGCGTGATTATGCTGCATTTTCCTCCCAGGAAAAGAGACTCTGTGAATTTGTCAGAATCACCCACATCGAATCGAATAATTTGGAATGCCATTTTTTGCTTTTTCATGATCCTATTGAAAATGCGCTTTTTATCAATAGCTTTATTACTTTTCTTTGCAGTTGCCATTTGCGAGCAACAGGATATCGAAGTGAATGCTGAACAAAGCACTCTGAATCAGCCTTCACAGGAATCAGTGTTTGATGTACATTTGCAGTGGTACTCTGACGTAGGAACACGCTTATCACTGCGAGAAGGAATATGTCGTTCCGAAGGTCAATTGTAAGCTGGAATTCCTGGAAACCTTCCAGGGTGACAGTGGCCGATGGTTGTACAGCTACCACAACGAGTATGCGACGCAATCCTGGATCTGGGGTTACGGTTTTGTCCGCCCAACTCTGGACTGTGACAAGGCGCTGATCACGGAGAACCCGGCATCTCATTACGGAATTGCAACCCTTTTCGATAAGCCTATTGATGTGACTGAAAAGGATCTGATTGTGCAATACGAAGTGCGATTCCAGCGAGGTCTTGAGTGTGGCGGTGCCTACATCAAGCTTCTGCGGAACGGGGAGATCGCCTCAGCGGAAGACTTGACAAGCAGCACTCCGTACGTGCTAATGTTCGGCCCCGACTTCTGCGGCCCCACAAACCTTGTCCAGGTGATCATTCCGCACTACAACCCCGTCAGCAAAGAGTGGAGCGAGAAGCGTCTTCGCGGCGGTCCGCGCATCGTCCACGACAACCTAACGCACCTCTACACGCTAATCATCCGCCGCGACGACTCCATCGAGATCCTCATCGACCAGATCAACAAGTTCACCGGCGATCTCAAGACCGACTTCGACCCTCCCTTCTCCTCCCCGGCCGTACTACCTTTTTCTCTCTCTCTCTTATTTTTCTAGACCATCCCCGACCCCACCGACTCCAAGCCTGCCGACTGGGTCGAGAACGACCGCATTCTGGACCCCACCGACGTCAAACCCGCCGACTGGGACGAGTCCGAACCGGAGTTCATTCTCGACGAGGCCGCGGTCAAGCCTGCGGACTGGCTGGACGACGAGCCGCTGGAGATCCCGGACCCCGCGGTGAAGGCGCCCGCGGACTGGGACGAGGAGGAATACGGTCCGTTCGAGGCGCCGCTGATCCCGAACCCGCGCTGCGAGGAAGTGAGCGGCTGCGGCGTGTGGGAGAAGCCGATGGTGAAGAACCCGAAGTACAAGGGCGTGTACCAGTACCGAACCATCCCCAATCCCGCGTATCGCGGTCCCTGGATGCCGCGGTTCATTCCGAACCCTGCGTTTTATGAGGAGAAAGCGCCGCACAATCTGCCGGCGATCGGCGGCGTGGCGATCGAAATCTGGACGCTGCAGGAGGGAATCGCGTTCGATAACATCCTGATCACGCACGACGAGGCGTGCGCGGAGGCGTTCTCGGACGCGACGTTCTTGAAGAAGCGGAAGATAGAGCTGAAGGAACATCCGGAAGCCAAGCGGAGAGAAAGCATCCCCATCGCGGAAGGGTCCAAGAAGGCCGAGGAATTGGTGGAGGAGGACGACGAGTTTGACGAGGAATGGGTGGAGAAAACGCGAGCGCGCGTGAGTTTCACGCGGTTTGTGAATGATTTGATCGATGAAGCGATGGGGTGGGAGTTCGATCAGGATCGGTTCGAGAAGGTGGAGAAGGGAATGATTGTTGGTTTGGTGGCGCTTGTTCTTGTGGTCTTGGGGGTATATTACCGGAATCGGGAGTTTATTCGCAAAGCGAAGTTGCTGTAGGGAACGCGAATTTCTGGCTTGGGAATCGATATGTTTGTTGAAATACAGCATTGTTGAAGGAACTACGAAGCTGTTTTGTGTTAAAAGGGCAAAAACGGGAATGCACGATTCTTCGCGGATAACAAAGAATGAATAGGAAGTGTGTTTTATTAAAGAACTTAGCAGAATCCTTTCGTTTCTGCATAGGGGATTGGTAAATAGATCATTTTAGTGTTCTAAATCATGAATAATAGCTTGTCTACGTCCAACGATTTGTTCGATGAAGATAGTGCTGAAGAATCCGTCCAATCGCAATCTGAAGAGGTATCAGAGGATTCTACTCAAAGTAATGAGCCGGCACCCTTCCTAGCTTCGTTTTCTGTGAAATCTCAGAAGTTTCTTGGGGCGCCGAGTGAAAATGGTGAAAGCGGGAACAGTGCTGTGGATCCCGAGAGAGGAGAGCTGGTGAATGAGAATGTACTTCAAGAGGTGTATAACCGAGCGTCTCACAGACGCATGCTGTCAATTACTCCAAATAATTCAAGTTGCTCACAGTCTGCTTCCAGTTTACGAGGAAGAGCGGAATCTGTTACCAGTACGGGTAATGGACCGAAGGGAGAGGCCCTCGAAATTAAATTGCCTGCTGAATCCACAGGCTTGCCTGCGTCTCCCGTCTCTTCTCATAAGATTTCGCCTCCACCCAAGGGAAAAACGCAAAGCGATATCTTTGAGAAGGATAGTGGCATGGAAATGGCGCGTAGTTACATCAACATCCATGAGAGTCGGCGGACTTTCGAGAATCACTTGCATTCCCAACGAAAGAAGCAGCAATCTGATGAAGCTCGATTGCAAGCTTATATGTTACTGAACGTGTTTCTGAACCGAAGAGACCAGAATAAGGACCGTTTCCCTCGCAACGTGTTTATTACTTCAAAATACACTCCGTGGAACTTTCTTTTTATCAACCTTTTTGAGCAGTTCAGCCGCGTTGCCAACTTTGTTTTTCTATTAGTCACGCTCGTTCAGCTAATTCCTGGCGTTAGTCCCTTTAACATCTGGTCCACACTTCTTCCTCTTATCTTCATCCTGCTTGTCACTGCGATCAAGGAGGCCTGGGAAGATTATCTGCGCCACAAAGCGGACAAAATCACCAACAACGTGATGTACAAACGCATTCTCCCGGATGGAAGCATGCAGCAGATTCCTTCTTGTGAAATTGTTCCGGGCGATGTTATTGTTCTGGAGGATCAGGAAGCGATCCCCGCGGATATTTTAGTGTTGGCGTGCAGTGATTCGGACGGAACATGCTATGTGGATACGAGTTCGTTAGATGGCGAGACGAAGTGAGCCTTTTTTTAAATTTACTTGATTTATGCGTAGTTTGAAAGAGAAGCAGGCAGTTTCGCTCACGAAAAAGGTCGATTCGCCCTCTGCGTTGGGTCAAATCAACGGGACTTTGACATGTCAAATCCCTACCAAAGAATTGTCCGTTTTCCAGGGTATTTTCGCAGTGAAGCCAGAGGGTGGCGGAAATGATCTGGAAGAATCGGTAGACTCGAAGAACCTTCTGTTGCGCGGCAGCATTCTCAAGAACAGCAACTGGGTGGCTGGGATGGTGGTGTACACAGGCCGACTCACGAAGCTTTCGTTGAATATGAACATTTCCAAGTTCAAGTTCAGCGGGATCGAGACGAGTCTGAACTCGTTCGTTCCCAAAGTGCTCTTTCTGCAGCTCGCACTGACGCTGGTATGCAGAGCTCGCTCGTTTGGACATAGATTTGCTGCAGCTGCGCGCGGTTCTACGATCGAGCCGTGGTGGAAATGGGACTGAAAGAATCCATTCGGCCGCTCTATGATTGGCTCTTCGACTTCTTCACATTCTTCATTCTCTTCTCCTACTTCGTTCCCATGTCGCTCTACGTCGTCTTCGAATTCTCTCGCACGCTGCAAGCTTTCTTCATGGAAGTTGGCCTCCTCTTTTTCATTTGGAGCATAACATCTAGAATGATCTGGACATGTACGTCGAAAACGAAGGCGGAATGCACGTGAGCACCAGCTCGCTGAACGAGGAGCTCGGCAACGTAGAGTTCATTCTCTCCGACAAAACGGGCACCATGACCAAGAACAACATGCAATGCTTCGGCTTCAGCATGGGCGGCATCGAGTTCATCGACAGCGACTTCCCCACGCCGCTTCCCGAAGGCGTCTCCGTCGAATCGCTGCTGCGAAAGCGGAACCAGGGGAACGAGCTCAGCAATCTGGAGAGGGAATACGTTCTGAACTTCCTCCGCGCGATCTTTCTCTGCAACAGCGTCGGAATCTTCGCGGGGTCCGATGTGTAGATCAAGCCGGTCGAGCAGGACGGTCGCACGGTGCTGCGCGCCGAGTCTGCGGACGAAGAAGCGCTTCTATCGGGCGGAATGAAGCTCGGCTGGGAGTTGCTGCTGCGCACGAAGGACACGGTGATTATCCGGGAAGGGTATCCAAGCTCGCCGGATGAATCGGCGCAGGACGGCGTGCATAAGTTCGAGCTGCTCGAAGAGCTTCCGTTCACGAGCAGTCGACAGCGCATGACGATCTTGGTTCGCGATACGTGGAACAATAAGATCTGTCTGTACAGCAAGGGAGCCGACAGCAAAATGCTTTCGCTGTCGTGCGATGAAGAGGAAATGGTGAAGTACGGAGTTGGAGAGATGGCTGAGTCGCTTTAGTCCTGCTCATACCAGCCCGTTGCGCCGGTCGTCGTTTATGGCGACACCGATCGATGAAGACGAGGACGAAGTGGAGCTGGAACGCCACGGATTGCTTCAGAAGATCGCCAGTTTCAGCCAGGTAGGGAGAGAGGGAGGAGTGAGATGACGGGAAGACGCGAAGCAAGCAGGGATATCGACTGCTGCTCGTGGGAGGGAAGTATGTGCTGGAGTCGGAATTGGAGGAGTGGGAGCACGAGCTGGACAAGGCGAAGAAATCGATGAAGCATCGCGAGGAAGTTGTTTTTGCGCGCGTTTGTTGAGTGTAGAACATCGAGAAGGCGTTCGTGTACATCGAGCGCGATCTGAGCATTCTGGGCGCCACGGCGGTGGAGGACGAGCTGCAGGACTGTATTCGAGAGGACATTCAGCTGCTGCGCGAGGCGGGCATCACTGTGGCGATGGCGACGGGTAGAAGCTGCGAATGCGATGGACTGTAGGCGATAAGAAGGAGACGGCGATGATCATCGCGCGGAATTGCGGACTGCTCACCGACTCCATGCAGCTCTTCGATCTCACGGGGAGCAAGGAGCATGTCGCGCTGCAGCTGGACGCGGCGTTGGAGCATTCGCACTACAAGCAGCATCTTCGGATCCAAGAGTACAACGCCAAGAATCAGAAATGGTCGCAGCGTCTCCTTCAACTCTGCTCAACGCGTCGGTCCAACGCGTCGCCGCGGCTCGATCCCTACGCGCCCTTCGCGCTCATTCTCGACGGCATCTCGGTCGACCAGCTCATCCGATCGCAGCAGGCTCCGTTCATCTATGCGATGCGCAAAGCCACGACGGTGATCTGCTCTCGCATGTCCCCGAAGCAGAAGTCCCGCGTGATTTTGCTGATGAAGAAGGAGGGACTGTGCTGCCTGGCGATCGGCGATGGAGCCAACGACGTGTCGATGATCCGCGAGAGCTCGGTGGGCGTGGGAGTGAAAGGAAAGGAGGGCAACGCGGCAGTGAACAACGCGGACTACATCATTCGGAAGTTCCACCATTTGATCAAGCTGCTGTTCGTTCATGGTCGCAACAATTACCGAGGAAACAGCTACAGCGTGTATCTCGCTTTCTACGAAAACATCACGTTCAATATTCCGCTCGTGGCGTCTGGCTCCGTCTCTCACGCTCTAGTTCTTCATCAGCTGGTTCACGATGTTTTCGGGACAGACGATCTATTCTTCCTTCCAGCTCTCCACGCTCTACTTCTTCACCTGTCCCACGTTCGCCTCCTTCGGATTCTTCTTCCAGGACCTCACCAAGCAAACGCTGCTCTCTCATCCCGAGATCTACGCGCTCAGTGCCCGTATCCACGTTTCCACGTTTCCACATAGGCGATAAAATGTTCTCTGGGCGTCGCATGTGGTCGTATCTTCTTGGCGCCTTCGTCAACGCGGTGGTTTGCTCGTGCATCCCGCTGATAATCTTCTCGGAGACGCAGACGATTCGAGGAGGTAAGGGCGAGCGATGTCTGGGAGATAGGAATACCGTTGGAGCTGTGGAGTCTGGGATTCTGCGTGTGGACCAATGTAATATTTAGTATCATAATCATGTCAGCGAGTGGGAGAGAGCGGAAAGAGGGTTCAATTGTAGTGATGGTCCCGAAGTGGAACGCGAACTTTTTGTTTTTCTTCTTTCTCGCTCTGTTTTTCTTTGTAGGCTGCTTGGAGAGGGCTGGATGATTGTAGTTCGCTGTCATCATGGTCATTCTGTGGATCGTGCAGGACGAACTCTATGACACGCTGCCCATCATTATTCGATCGCCTGTTTTCTATCTCCAAGTGATTCTCACCGATGGAATTATTTACTTGTTCCTTGTTTTGGCGTGGATGGGGTGTGAGGCGTAGCTCGCGAGGATTGCGTTGGCCACGGCGTTCCGACCGGAGTTGTGGAGACCCTATGCAGAGAAAGAGGCGATCGATGCAAAGGCCAAAGTGACGCCGACTGAGCCCATTTCTGTTTCATAGTTGACTTATTTCTAGTCCTTATACTTTTGGTTGTGGTGTTTGTTGAATGAAAATTGAAGGTGAAGGTTTTGTTTGTCTTTTTTCGAAAGGTAGGCATAGGGTATGTAGGATGATTGAGGGTGGTACAATGAAGAGTATGTTTCTATTTGAAAGGATTGCTCACTCATATTATTATTATTATTATTATTATTATTTTCAAATTACCATTTCTCTAACAAACAATCCAAACTAATCATTTATTCCCATAGGTTGCATAAGATACACGTAGAAGCTTTCCAGGCTACAAATTACACACAAATCTCCTTATTTCCTACCATAGCGAACAGACTCGAATTATGAATCACGGCGACTGCATTCGTTGCAGATTCTGTTGAATCCATTTCGATCCAGGCCATCTACATTCAACCCATTGTCAACACAACGAACATTCTTTAAAATACTAATTTTCTCAACAGTGCCGCAGTTGCTAAACAACTGCAGTAAAATATCACGGATATTTGGCTTCGAACTATCGAACCTATCATTAACTCGCCAAGCCTCGCTCACCCAACGACGTGAAGTTTGCGCGAAGGCATATGCCATGGAATTTGGGCATACTCCGAGGAGTTAAATCGATGGACAATCTTTCCATAATAGTCCTCTGTTAAATCGCGAATCGAGGGACAGGTGTACGCATTTACGGGATCCACATACGTCGTTGTTGAAAAACGAACCTATCTCTTATTTCTACACTTGTGTAGTACCTGAATTGTGTGTCCACGGAATACAGTTCCGTTCATCACCAAGGCTTTGGCAGCTTGCGAAGAATCAGGATACAGCACTAACGCTTTGGAATGGTCGTTGCTCCTATCATAACAAAAAAATGCAAAATGAGTTACATTATCTTTACACGTAATACTTCACCGAAACAAGAGAAGATATTGAACAAGTTACTCGGAAAGAGATTTTCGGCGTACCGTTAAGGGAGCAACAAATAGCTTGAACAAGGATATGGGAAGATGAGAAACAAATAAAACAGAGTTTTGCAAAATAAGGTTGGGTTTCGGTGTATTGTAACTAAGGGTCTAAATAAAAGACAAATACCGATTTTACCTCATCAGTGGACATTTTTCTTGTGGGTTCTTCGATTTCTTCTTCATTTGTATTCAGAGATTGTTTGCGACTTTCTATGAAAGGAATAGTCCATTACCAAGAAAGAGTACCATAGTTACTTTTCTTTTGTTGGTTTTCAAATTCCGACTTTATTGAGTATCTTCGGGATGCTGTATTTTGCTTTTCTGCAATTACTTTTTCAGGACAAGTAGGGGCTATCGACTCAGATTCCGTGTCATTTTGTTGCAAATCATCGTCTTGCTGTATGTGGCCCTCGCTAGATGACAACCCTGTAATTCAACGCTCATTCCTTATGCTACCATTATTCTGATGAGCCTCGTTAATATAACAGGTTTTCATATCTTTTGCAATGGAAGAACTCATATTATGTACAAGAAGGATTGACAGATTGAACGAATCTGTCAATCAATTTTTAATTTTGAAGGAGTCAGAATGATCTTCAGCAATCAATTGCTAACCTATCTTTTATGGTACTTGTTAGACTTGAAGAATCACAATTCGGAAAAGGATCTTTTCACCATTTTGTCAAATCACAATCGTAATAACAATAAGAGAAATAGTAATAATAACAACAACAACTTGTCCTAGAATGTTATGTCATAGTGTTATTCGCATTGTGCTTTACAATGTTCTCGTTGTAACAAATAGGGTACAATGCTGTGAATCAATATTAAATATACTAGTAAACAGGAATATAGAGTTTTGAAAAAATAGGACACACTTTAAAACTAGATAACAGCCATTGACATATCTATCAATTTCTGAAAGTGAGTTTATTTTGCTTAATTCTGTCTCTTTGATATTACGAACAAATAGGCTTCCTATTTTCGAACAAACACACACAATACATAAATATATATTATTTTATATTCATATATATAGAAATGCCACAACTGCAATCACTCTAGTTTTTCTGCGTTGATCTACTTTGCGAACACACTCACATCCATACTTGGTTACCTAGACGAATTAGATTTGGAATGTAATCTATCAAGCGATTCAATCCCTCCTTTATCTTTTCAAATAGCGCAGTAATCACACGGTTCAGCGTATTATCAATCTTATTTGCGTTCTTCTGCTAATAATCATCTATAAATCGCAAATACATCGAGAATCGGATTGAGAATCACTGTTGTGATGAAATCAGTTCCCTACGACGTTTCATACTCAACGCAAGACAAACCTGTGAAGATGGCATCCAAATCCAAAGTACCAATAATAGTTTTAACAAGTGATAGAACCAGAAACTGCGTTTAAGGCAATCACTACCAAATACCTGTGTAAAAAATAGTCTAGCACAACAAAGAAACATTCAAAAATGGATAATACCATCCTACAACTAAACAAGGATCCAGGGCATTTACCAATATGCGATCCACCGATTCTTGCTAGCCTCGTCATTTTTTACAATAGCATCATATGAGGAATAGCAGGGAAGCACATAGGCAGACAACGCACTACAAATCACTGCACTCTAACACCTAGACTATGGTATTTTGTACAAGTTGTAAAATTGGAACATTCTCTGTGAACAATCAACAAGTGTGTATTTTGGTAACGTTGGAAAGTGAATAAATCCTTTTCTGTATGTCATTTTCAACTCTCTTCCTTCTCTGAATTCAATCATACATTTTGGATCGCTTTTGAAATAATCAATGGTTCCACTTGAACGTACTGATGATTTTCTCTGTATGACTTTTGCGGACTCGGCGATAGACATTGAGTCTCCCTGCAATCGGCGAGTTCTTCGTAGAGATACATATTTGTCTATTATGCAAATTGATTGGCGCACGATTCGCAAAGTGATGTCATAGTCTTCACCTCGAACGTAATGTATCCGTACTCATTATTCTATTCGCATTATGCCTCTTGTGCAGCAAAACATCTATTGTGAGACCCCTCGTCTGTTTGAAAGAAAACAGTCACAAACATATTATGGTATCTGCCTTCTTACCGTGATAGTTATCATGTAGAATCCAAATACTATGAATTACAAAAGATACTGCGAAGAACACTACGTATTCTGTTGGTAGATGGTCGTTTAATCGAAGGAAGATTGCAGGTAGAGACTCGATTTCTTGATAACCCACAGTGTTTTGACTCGGCACTGAATCTCATCTTTGTGAATGCCTACGAAATCATCTCCGGTACTCCTTTCTATTCTCTTTTCGAATCCGTAGACAGCCATCTCGTCCATCCTATCGGTCGCCTGATCGTTCCGGCCTCGGAGGTGCGCCAATTCCAAGTGAGCAACTGAACGTGGAGTGAAGAGCGTGCAGCACGCACCCAACACCGAACAGCTTTCATTCATCCCCTATACAATCAACTATACTGATAATTCTTCTGTATCATGAGAGTCCTTTAGAGGTTAGAGGCTCTGTTTGTTCAACAAACACTCCACAAATCCTTCACCTTCATCGTCTCCGTGTCGAATCCGGGCATCGGGAACGAGGTGGCGAACTCCGCGACCTCATGCGCCAACACCGGGATGTCCTTGTTGTTGGGCAGCGCGGCCACGAAGTCCTTGAGCATCTTTCCCGAGCTCTTCTGCACGTCCAGGCAGATCTTCACCACGCGGTCCAGGAACTCCGCCACCTTCTCGAAGTCCGCCTCCTTCAGTCCTCGCGTCGTCAGCGCGGGGGTTCCGATGCGCACGCCGCCGGGCGACTGCGCCGAGCGATCTCCGTGCACGGTGTTCTTGTTCAGCGAGATGTTCACCAGGTCGCACACCTTCTCGATCTTCGAGCCCGTCAGGCCCAGCGGACGCACGTCCCACAGCACCAGATGGTTGTCCGTGCCGTCCGTGCACAGCTTGTACCCCTTCGCCATCAGCGCCTGCGCCAGCGCCTTCGCGTTCTTCTTGATCTGCACGCAGTACTCCTTGAACGCCGGCGTGGCCACCTCGCGCAGCTGCGTGGCGATGGCCGCGATCTGGTGGTCGTGCGGACCGCCCTGCAGGCCAGGGAACACCGCGTCGTTGATCTTCTTCTCGAAGTCGCGCTCGTCCTTGCGGAAGAAGATCATACCGGCGCGCGGACCACGCAGCGACTTGTGCGTGGTGGTCGTCACGATGTCGCAGTACTCGAACGGATTCGCCACTTCGCCCGTCGCCACCAGGCCGCTGATGTGCGCCATGTCCATCATCAGGATCGCGCCGCAGCTGTCCGCGATCTTGCGGAAGCGCGCGTAGTCCAGATCGCGCGGGTAGGCAGAGAAACCCGCGATGATCAGCTCGGGCTTGTACACGTTCGCCGATTTCTCCAGCTCGTCGTAATCGATGAGACCAGTCTCGCTATCCACGTGGTAGGGAAGCGTCTCGAAGAAGATCGAGGAGCCAGAAAGGGCCTTGCGCACTCCCGTCTTGGGATTGAAGGTGTAGTAACCGTGCGTCAGATGACCACCCGAAGGAAGATCCAAGCCCATAATTCGGCTGTGGGGCTTCAGCAGACCCGTGTACACAGCCAAGTTCGCGGGAGAACCGGAATAGGGCTGGACATTCACACCCCACTTTTCAGGGTCCAAATGATAAGCGGCCAAGGCACGCTTCTGGCAGAGCTGCTCGATTTCATCGATGAACTCGTTGCCTCCGTAATAACGGTGACCCGGATATCCCTCCGAGTATTTGTTTGTAAGACACGATCCCAAGCACTCCATGACCGCTCTCGAAGTAAAGTTCTACACATCAACCGCCAGCACTCAAAGTCACCTCCGAAGCAATCATTTCCAGCGACTTCCACTGGCGGTTCTTCTCTCTCTCAATCATATCGGCAAGTTCGGGATCCACAACTTCCAAAGGTTCTCTTCCAGGCTACACCATAAGCCCTCGCTGGTTCCTCCTCTCCCTACCTGCATTCTAAAAAAACAATTCGATCTAAAAAAAGATTGGATTTCCGCCCAAACGATCAGCAGCTCTTTTCGAATTCTTCGATTTCTTCGATTTCTCCTTTTCTCCAACAAACAAACCATGATGATTATCGACCTTGAAACCGATCAGGCCTCAGCCCGTCGCTTCTCCCATCGTCGTCCCTTTACAGCTCCTTCGCCTCCTCCGCGGGCGCGGCCTCCTTGGGCTGGTTGGGCTTCCAGGCGGGCAGCGGCTGCTCCTTGGGCTCGTGCACCACGATGATATCGGGCAGAGCCTTCTTCGGGCCCAGACGACCCTCCGGATCCGTCGGCTTCATGATGCGCACCTTCACGCCCAGCATTCCCTGCTTCACCAGCACGTGGCGAGTCGCCTCGTCCACGAACTCCTTGCAGGCGTTACCGGTCTTGATCATGTAGCCCTCCTTGAACTTCATCGCGTTCGCACGCTGCTGGCGCAGCTTTCCCGACACGATGACCTCGCAGCCCTTCGCTCCGGCCTCCAGAGCGCTGCGGATCACAGCGTAAGCGGCACGGCGCACAGGCAGACCGGCGAGCAATCTGTACTTCAGGGCCTCCGCCTGAGTCTGGGCGCACAGGCTGCGCTCAGCCACACGCTCGGCGTACAGAACAACGTTGTTCTCGTTGAAGCCGAATCTAGGGAATTAGCTTGCTTTCTCACAAAACGCAAACCTCTTCTGGACCAGAGCAGTCAGCTCGTTGATGCGGCGAGAGTTCTCACCAATAATCTCCTGAGGTCTGGGAGCACGAATAATGATCTCAGTCTTCATGGTAGACTTGCGGATGCTCACTCCGGAGTAACCAACTTCAGAAAGCTCGCGGTTCAGGAGCTGAAACGTCACTTCCTAGCCAAAACACCTCCTACCTCGTCGAGCTCGGCGTAGAACACTCCATCGGCCACACACTGATGCTTCTTGCTAATTCTTTGAGAGGACATTTCCAAGGACTAATAATCAAAGATTTCTGGTTCAAGTGGAGAGGTGAATTCAAGCGTACAGTCATCTCCCTTTCTCACTATTATCATCAAATACCTGGACAAATGGGAGTTTCATGAGTTGTCAAGAATGCTATTTCGCCATTTCTATTCACTTTCAAAGAGTGTGGAGTGTGGAATAGAGGTGTAAAACAAATAGTGACGGTAATCTACAAATATACAGGAACTAGAGGGAAGAGAGATGTTCTGATTCTTCTTTTAGAATTGATGGCTCCGAACAAGGAACACTGCATGGTTGGCTCGGTTGACTTGGTGGAAGGGGACTGGCACTGCTTTTGACAGAGGGAGTCGATCGCTCACTGTCGTGTAGACCCATCACATTCTAGAAATTATGTGGAAAAACGAGGTTTCGAACCAGATAGTGTAACTGCAACTCGTCACTGTCCCGAGCGATGCTGTTCATCGTTTTTCTCATTCTATGCATTCAATTTGAATCCAATAGCGACTTTTGAGACTTCAACAACTGCTTTTCCTTTAAACTATTGAGCCTTTTAACCATTTCCAGACGGAGATAATAATTAAATAGTGTAGAACTGAAAAGGGTGATGGTTCGGCCAAGGTCGTCTAGAATCCTCATTCTTTCCTTCTTTTTTGTTTACCTTTCTCTGACAACACAACAGGCTGCTTTGGAGCCTTTTTCGACCTGCGCGACATGTTTTATAATGGTTACAAACAAGTGTATAACGTGTGTTAGAGAGGATTCTTGGGAAATAGTGAAATAATTTTGGAATACCCTGTAAGTTCAAGGATGTGTTGCTAGATGTATGAGGTAAATAGGGCTCAGGCTGGTGCTATAGAATCAAGGAATCAGTGTTGTGCCTGTTCGATCTTATCAATGCATACTACGATCTTTTCGTTGCACTCTTCCCAGCTTCCGGATTCAGGTGAACACATATCCAACAAACACCAAGCAAACGCACACCAAATCCCTCCCTCTTATCCAGAACGCCTCAAGATCTGATAATTCACAGACTCGATCACCCATTTCACCAAATCAAGCGCCTTCAAGTATTCGCTCTCCACATTCTCAAAACACTTCTTCAAATCCTCCAGTTTCTCCACTGTAACGGCCTCTCTTCGTGCTCGACTATTGCGAATCTGCTTCAACTCATCCTTCGCAGACACGAACTTCGCTTCCTGTTCTTCCAGCGCTTGCTGGTAAACTCGCAACGCCTCCACCCAGCGCGCATACCATCGACCGTTCTTCCCTTTGCTCGTCTGCAGCCGCTCCCAGTTGATCTTTCGACCGAAGCACGTCGTTTCTCCGATGAGTTCCCTCAGCGTTTTGCCCAAAAGCGGCTTTCCTTGCTCGAACGCCAGACTTCCAGCCGCTTCCTTATCCTCGAATTCGAAGGAAATGCGCGTCAACTCGTTCAGCAGCGAGCCGATCTCGAAGAATATCTTCTCCTTCGCATGAATCGCATCGACCGTCTTCACAAACGCAGCTCCTACACTCTCATCCCCTTCCCTTTCACCCTACGATCTCTCGAATCCATAATAGAAAGATGCGTTTCGACCTCCATCGCGTTTTCTCTCATGCAAATCTCCACATCGCTCTCCTTCGTCGAGAACGATTCCCAATCCACCGAATCCTCGCTGAACACCAGCGTCCCCAGCACCGATTTGTCCAACTTCACGCTCTTCTGCTCCAGCAAATGCGCCAACGTCGCCGCTCCCAGCGCGACCGGCTCGTCCATGTTGAGGGTGTGCATCAAATCCGCCTGGTTCCACCCCAGCGACTGCACCGCGCGTTTCAGTTCCTGCTGGAGACAGCGCGTTCGCATCGCGCCGCCGGAGGGAAGCACCTTCACCAGCGGCGTGGAATCGTGGAAACCGCGGATGGCTTCGCACATTTCTTGGAGGGCGGCGCGGAAACGAGCGACGAGCGGGGCGCAGCGAGAGGAGAAGGCGTCGATCTTGACTTGGAGGAAGCTCATGTCCTGGTCGCCGTCGAATTCGATGTAGTCGGAGAGATCCACGTCGATTTCCCCGATTTCTAGAAGTGATGCGAAGCGGAGAAACCAACCCGAGGCGTTCAGATCGCACTTCTTTTTCTCGCACACGTCCAGAATGTGGAGGTAGTTCTTGCGCTCTTCGCGCTTCAGTCGCTCGATCGTCTCCTTCGACACCAAGCACTCCATCATTTTCTCGGTGAAAAGCCTGCCGCAAACGCCGGGAACATCGCGAGCATACTCAATGCAGATCTTGTTCTGCGGTTCATCCTCCATTCCGACGCTACCTTCGAATAGCACACTACGAATAGAGTCATGTGTGTGGCTCCAGCGTCAACGATGATGTGTCGCGCGGGTTGGAAGGCTGGGTTGTGCGTGCATTCATAGAATCCGTTCTCCAAAGCGATCGCAAGGCAAGACTTGAGATAGAAAAACTGCTTGTAGTTGCTCCAGGAAGTCAGCGTCCGCAGCTTTGCGATCTCGCTTGGACCGAAGGTGTCCGGAACCTTGGGAATTAGAGAAGAAACGAGGGAATACGCTCGCTACCCACACGCCTCCCTCGGTGCTTTGCCGCTTTGGAATCTCCAGACGCTGTGCGTAGAGGTCTGAATCTTTGCGCATGATACAGTAAAGAGCGTATTCAAAGTAGAAATTCGCTAACACTAGAGATGACAGTTTTTGCTCCTTTCCGTTTATCTTCATAGCAAAAGAGATTTCGCCATTCTCATTCACTAGATCGCACGGGTTCCAGTCTTTCACCAGGCGCATATCTTCTTCAGAGAGAGAACGGAAATACTCCAAACAGCCGCAAACAGCAGACTTGGGATCGCTGTAATACTAGGGATCAATTGCACATAAATCGTACCTTCGCGGAGCAATGGCCGCAGATGTTTACTTGGTTCCCACTAAACGAGCAGCGCATACTAGAATAACAATCCTTATATTCTTTCTACACAGAAAACTTCTTTTGATAGTCGTTTAGCACAATCTTGGAAAAACCTTCAGGATTAAGTGTTAGATCTCCCTCAACCCATTCTCCGATATACAGAGTCTGGCCGCCTATATCAATTCCAATGATTCTTGTCATGTACTTGTAATTCTTTTTGATTTTGTCGTTATACTGAGTTAAAATGAATGTTATTTGGTGGATTCTGGCATACACCATCCCGATTGCTGTAGCACAGACTGTAATAGGTGCATCCTCGCAACGAAGTATTTGAAACCAAGTCGATGGAATGTAGTGTTTGTCAAACCGATGGAATTGGTGACGCTTGACTTGTTCATCGATGAGGAATATTTGTTTTCGTATATGGATCCCATAATAACTAGGATTTACTTGGAAGACTTGGAACCAAGTACCAACTACAAAATTGTAATGTCCTATCCGGGAGTAATTCCGGTGCAGTATGATCTTTTCCTGGAAGAGGATAGTGATGACTTACCTACTTTTCACCCTTCGATACACAATCGACGGATGCTAGATACACGAATTTTCTCGTTTAGGACAGACAAATATGGAGATCTGTATCTGATGGGAGAAGATGCAGACAAGTCAAGTCCTGAAGTACTTTTCCCCATGTCTGTAAGTAAGTGATAGAAAAAATATGTTCCAATCCTTCATATCATTCCCAAACCCTATTCCATAGAGCAAGTTCCCGAATCCAGTCGAGAACGTTTCGCCACTTTTGTTGTGGAGCCAGTTTCTTTCGGAATGACGCCGACTTCTCTGCAAGAAATCGAATTGATCGTGACTCTGATCGTTCTAACCGTGTTCATTGTGTATATCTACACAGGAAAGCCATCGTTTTCGCAAGGTGTCAAACAAACAGCATCGATTTCGAATCCCAAAAAATCCGATTAGTTTAGTTTTGTTTCTTTGATCCCACAATCGATTCCTTCAGAAACTCTCTCTCCATCCGGACTCTTTTCGTTCTCCGTTTCTTCTGCATCGACGAAACGAACATCCACAAAGCCACACATCCAATCAGCAGATACCCGATCTATCCCTCACTCTCTGCTTTCATCCTCACATTGCTTCGCTTGTCCAGACACTCCCTCAAATCCTCCTCAAACAGCTCATAAATCGCCGATCTACTCGCTATCCCAGCGTTCTCCCTACTTCTCTTGCAGCTCTTTGCACTCGGCGAACTGTCGGAACATGAAATACCCCACAATCGCGATCACTCCCAGCAAAACCAACCCGATCCACTTCGAATCCAGCATCGACACGCCCTTGTGTTCCTTGATTACCGCGGGATTCAGCATCATGCGCCAGGAGAGAACGAACCAGCCGTTGAGGGAGCAGTAGAGGAGCTGGTCAGCGAGGTCGTCGAGAGAGTAGAAGATGGGCGACTGGGAGACGATGACGTGGAAGAGAGGACCTAAACCGATCGTTATTTCTTTCTAGAGTCGAGAGGGGTGAAAAACAATACGCGAAGCTCGAAGGCAGGAATCGAATTGTGGGTCTGGTACTCGAATCCAATGGCCTTGAAATAAGTGAAGGGTGAAAGAACGTACCTTTTGCTCAAAATCGAACAGAACCTTTTCCATCGAGTTCTTCTTGATTTCCAAATTAACTCTTTGTGGAAATTCGAATTAACAACTACTTGACCGTTTTCTTGTCCAATTCGTTCTTGTCTTTCATTACTTCAGTGATTGGCATTGAGGATGGGCGGAAAATCACAAACTCCTCATGTGATCTGGTATCGGAGACAAGCGCGACAAAACCCTTGTAGTTCAACATGAAGGAACCAGATCACGCAAAAAAACATTCAGCAGGATATGTAACGAATTGCCTTGTCAAGTCTCTTGCCTTGAATCACACACCAACCAGGTCCCCACTAAAATTCGTCTAAACACGCTATCAACTACACTCTGCGTCAAGTGGAGACGAATCAAGCTTGTAAGGTCTCCCGTTTTATTCGATTGCGCAATACACGAAAAGAGGACCGAGATGAATTGATTCAGGTCTTCATTCGGACCCCTCATTGAGAAAACAAAGCGACTCGATTCCGGCTGAGTCATTCCAAAAAAAGTTGTAATGCACAACAAACAAACAGGCAAAGAATTAAATTACTTGGCGTTATCAAACTGATCTGCTAGTTGCTGTGTCAACTCCATATCCGCATCCATAAAAATACCAATCACATGCATCACGATTTGCTTCACTGATTCATTCGTCGCGTTCATTTCACACCTCCGAAGCGACGGATACACCGCCTTCAGCAGCACTTGCACGTTCTCCTTGTCCCGAATCACCGCATTGGAGAAAACATTTCCGCTCCAAAGAAAGAGAATTCGCTCCGTGACTTGCACATGACACGAATCCAAACACTTCGCAAACCGCTTAAACAACGCTTCCCGATACGGAACCAAGTCCGCAGGGTTGAGTTGGCTCATCAAATCCTCCAGTTCGTTGAGAAACAGCACTTCTTTGGAGCTGGATCCGGTCGGCCAATAGCGAAGCAGCCCTTTTACAATCTACCAATCAGCGAAGAGGAAAGGAGAAAAAAACCGGCGTGCTGAGCGACGGGTCTTTCTGTGCGTAGAGCGTCATGCAGTAAGAGAGAGGCGCGCTGTACTCGTCGTACTGGCGCATTTTGTGGAGCGGAATGAGCGATTTCTCGAGCGATTGGCGATGTTCGGGGCGAATGGGAAGCGTAAAGCCGTTGATGATCGACGCGAGGATCTCTAAGAGGACGGAAATCCCGTTGTGGCGCTTCGTCTCGTAGAGGAACGTGTAGAAGGTGTTGTTGATCGCACCGCGGATGGTGGCGCGACGGTTTGTGAGCTTTCCGTAGATTCGGTGTGTGGCCATTTTGAGATATTCGCGCTCTTGGGGGTCGGGCGAATCGAAGAGCGAAATGAGTCGCGTGATAAACGAGTTCGTGATGTAGTGCTTTCGAATCGTGTTGTCGATCTTCACGGAGAGAACGAGATGGATTAAGATCTCGTAGACGAGGGAAAGATGCGTCCATTCCGGATCGGAGTAGTCGATTTCTTCGTCTTCGGCTGAAAACGAGGGCTTTGAGTGAGCCAAATCAGATCAAAACAACTACCTTATAGTCCGAATTCAGAGGTCGAACCAGCGCCAACTCAATGCCTTGGATCATTTCCTGGAAAATACACGCGTTGTTCAGAAGCTCTCTATCTCTCACGCTTCATTCTTGTCCATTACGGAGCTGAATCCACAATGTCGAGAAGCTCAACCAGCGTGGTTCGCTTCACATCGCGATAGGATGATTCAGATTCTTTTGAAAAGTCAAAGTGCAAACCCATGAGTCGGATCTTGTTCCAGATCAAAGCACGACGGTAAGGAGCGGGCATGTCTAGAGAGTCAATGAAGCTTAAAACTACCTTTGGTCTTGGGAAACAGACTCGCGGTGCGGATATGCTCCGGACTTGCGTCGAATACAAAAGAATCTAGATGTGGAGGTGTAAAAGAAAATAAACTTAGAAAGCAGAAGGGAAGGGTGCATCGCATCAAAATACTGATCCAGGAATTCGCCTCATCTTGCGAATCGACGTAGAAATGGTAAATTTGTTTATTTTCATGGTTCCGAATTTCGGACGAGGGCAAATAGGTTTTATCACTTATTCCGGGCTAAAATCAGAACGAACACAAACCCAGTACCACGACAATAATTTCTATTCCTGATTTTTCCAATAGCCGCTTTTCCGTTAATTGGACAACCGCTCCCTACGATGAAAATGGAGAAAGAAACGTACTAATATACAAATTGACTGGGAAAAAGATCCATCACGTAGAGTATTTTCATACTTGAAATTATTACCGTGCACAGACTACAAAGGGATTCAAATGGACCAACCCCCACACAAAAAAACTTCTTTAAGGTCTTTTTGTCCTCTTGATGAAGGTACATGCACCCCTCCTTCTCACAAATCGCTGTAGAAGGAAGCATATAGACTGAGGTCATTTCGAAATAAACTGCAAATGCCAAATATAAAAAACGAGTCCCGAAAAAACCTCTTAGATCTAAAAGCAAATGCTGCTAACAATCAAAATAGGCTAAATGCTTCAAATCCAATCTCATGAAAATGAAACGCCCACATTCAAAAGTGGAAATACCAAAAATCGCACTATTTTCTGAATACTGCAAACACTCTATCTTTTGAACTTGTATTAAAACAAGCACTCTATTTTACTATGAATAGCACATGGAGCTCAAATCCAAGTAGTCAAAGATGATATCTTGATATCTAGTACGTACCTTGAAAGAATTGGGTATTTATTTTGACGAGGAAGGAAGACTCCGGTCCACAAAAGATAATTCTATAATTACAATGGAAAATCTTACTACAGATCCACTTCTAACGGTAACGTCGATTACTCAATATGTAAATACATTATTGTCAATAGACCATGATTAGATCCAAATGAAAATGGTTCGAGATTATAGTTTTGAAGAAATTCGAATTCCACTAAGTATGGATTGCAAGAATTGCTCTCGGGGGAGTATTTTCGGATCAAAAGGTATTTCATTAGAGCAAATAATGATTGTGTTCTAGGATGTTTGGTGATGAAGACGTTGGTGATTGTGATTCCTTCCTCAGGAACCTACCCAGGAATCTGGAGTCGTAGTCTGTGTATAAACGAGGGTTTGATGAAAGGCACAATGCTTCCTTTCTTTCACAGAGCTATGCAAGAAGACATGGGAATTATTGTATTGAATCCAAATGTGAATAGCTACTTTGACGAAGAGACTTCAGAACGAAAACCCATTCCATACAATGATACTCCAGAAAAGCATGTGTTGTATGTGTGGGAACGCTGCTATATGAGATGATTGCTGGTTATGTAGAAGATTGAGTTGGGTGTGAGTGTGTAGCCACCGTTTTATGATAATAACCGAAAGTCGATGTTTACGAAGATTATCAATGGGAAGTTGCGATTTACTGTTTGTTTTTGGGCTGGGACTAACGAATAGCCCTTCTTTAGCATTCAAGCATGCAACATCATCACATGCCTTCTCGATCGACACCCTCAAACGCGACTGGGAGGAGGACCAAGCGATGCAGAAGAAGTAGGAGAGGATGAGAAATCGTCATGTAGGTGAAAAAGCACCCGTTCTTTGCGGGAATCGATTGGGAAGCTTTAGAACGAAAGGAAGTTCCGTCTCCCTGGAAGCCTTGTGTCCATGGAGAAACAGACACGACGTATTTCAATCACAAGTATACCATAGCTGACATCGATGAAGAACCAAGTGTTGTAGTTGTGTTATTGAGGTGTGAAATAGACAATGAATACATCGAATTTGCCCAATTTTCCAGATTTTACGTACCAAAATCCTCGTTCCAAGTCTCCTTTTTGTTACAAACACAATCATACCATTCTAATTCTTCTTATTCTTCTTCCTCCATTTTCGTATCTTCTTCGCCATCCTCTTCTTTTCCATTCTCTTCATTCGCTTCCTCCACTTCCATTTCCTTCTGCATCGCTTCCCACTGCTGTCTACGAATCTCGTAATACTGCGCCGCAATCTGACTCAAATGCTCGCCACTCTGAACTTCGAAACTCGCTACCTCATCGTCCACGCCTCTCTCACAAGGATAGTACTCATTCTCCACGAGCTGAAGCATCAGCGGTCTTTGGAGGAGAGGACGCATGATCTCCTGCAGCTCCAAACACTCGCGGAACAACGAAGCCTTTCCGAACACATACAGTCCCAGTCTCGCTCTTGAAACGGCCACTAAGAGACGGCGCACATCGCGCAGATATCCGACAGAACGCGTTCGAACCAGAGACAGAAGCACGATATCGTTCTGCTGCCCTTGGTATTTATCGATCGTGGAGATTTTGCTTGGCATTCCAAAGAGCGGATTCTTTCTGCAATACTCGCGGAGATAACTTCGAAGCAGTTCCTTCTGTCCATTGTAGGGAGTCAGTAATGTGATCTTCTCTGCGGGATATCCACACAAACGGAGATATTGGTACATGGCCAAAACAAATCCTGCTTCCTTTTCGTTCTGAATTCCATGATTGACCACTTCTTTTTCTTCTCCATCCACATTAATCATCTGATAATCATATCGCAAGCACGCGTTCGCTCGCTTAAACTCCACTTCCGTATGGGGCAGATTGCTTAATCCTTCGTAACGCCAAGCAAACAAAGCCGCAATTGAATCGCGCGATCGTCCCTGCGCATCCAGCTGCACAAACGGCACTCCCAAACGAAGCAATCGAGCGAATAGACTCTGATCCAGATTGGTGGCATGAGCCAGAAGAGGGCTGTGAATGATTGGAGGAAGTTGGTTAGCATCTCCCAGATAGATGACTCGCTTCAGCTGGCAAGGCTCCATTTCGCTGGCTTCTTGCAAGAGGAAGGGAATGAACGATTCCAACTCGAGCATTTGAGCTGCTTCTTCGAAAATAATCGTGTCGAATTTGAAGTTGGACTCGAGGAAGCGTTGCCGCGCGATCGCAGCATGAGTGCAGGTCATCGCAATGATGCGCGCTTGGTTGGTCAGAATGTAGTCTGTGCGATGTTTCCAATTTCGGAGCAGCTCAAAAGCACGATACTCCTTCAACTCATTGAACAGATTCTGAACGGTCTGCATGCATCGCTTGCCTCGTTCTTTCAGATTGTCTTCAGAGAGAGACGAAGCGAACAACTGGCTTCCTTGCGGAGCGAAAAAGAGCTTGAACGGGAAGCATCGTCCTGCTTCCGTGTCATTCGCTGCGTCCCATTCCTTGATTTGGCTCTTCTTCTCCGCAGAATATCTCGCCGGAATCGAGGTCAACTCCGCCTTTTCCTCCTCGCTGCACGTATGGTCCAACACCTTCAGATAGCGCTGAATCAGAGGGAAAATCACTGTCGTAGCGAAGTGCTCGCTGGTTTCGCACGAGAATCCCAAGTCTTCCAGATATCCCAGACTGACGGCCAGCTGCTGCACAGCCTTCAGGAGCACTTCGCGGCGCTGCAGACAATAATCCACGCGACCCAGCCGACTGAAATCCTCCGTCGAGTCCAGATCTCTCTCTCCATGACCCAGACGCAGCAAGTGTCGCTTTTCAATATCGCGCTGCGCGATCTTGACAAAGAGATCGTTCAGTGCGTGATTGCTTCGCGTCACTAAAAGAATTCGCTGGTCGGGATAGCTGTGATACAGATTGCTCACGATTTGCACTGCCACGTCTGTCTTTCCAGTGCCCGGAGGACCCACAATCATCGTGAGACCTGGCTCCATTCCAGAACGAATCGCTTCGATCTGGCGAGGCGTGAATTCCACGGTTGGCTTCCACGTTTCTTTCTGTTCAAATTCGAAAGGCGTGTAGAAGCTGGTTTTGCTCGACATAACGTTTATGGAGTGGAATCGCTGCGTGTAGCTGGTACACTGAATAGTAGATTCTTCTTCCTCGTCATCATTGTCGTCGTCGTCTTCGTTCTCACCGAATGTCAGACGGAAGGGCGGAGCCATCTGCTCCGCAGACAGAGGCTCTCCATTCTTACCGCAGAACTCCACTTTGCGGTCCGGGAACGAAGCAATCACATGCTGGGCATTGTGGAAAGTGTCAGCAAAATCGAGAGAATGCGACGGTAAATCCCAATGCGTGTAGTGAGCGGCTGCAGGATCACCGAGACCCAGGAGAATATCATGGAACCACTCCGGAATGGATTGGTTCAGATGCTTCAGATTCAGCAAATCGCGAGTTGTTTCCTGGACCGATTTGAAGGAGTTCGACGCGGGATCGCGACGAATCAGCAGATTGAAGCTCTCGTAAGGATCTTTCTCTCCGGCAGCGACTTGTTCCATATCGTGCTGATACATTATGGGGTCGAGACGAACACGGAGGATTCGTCGCTTTCCAGCTCGCTTGAGACGCGTATCTGCCTCCACCAAATCATTCAGAATCACGCCGTCTTCATCCTCCATTCGAACGACTTCGCACCCTCGAATGGCCAGAACTCCCTCCTTTTTCAGGAAATCCAAATCGCTCCACTTCTCACTCTTCTCCTTTTGATTCTTCTCTACAAATCATCCATCCATCCATTCGACTCAATACCAATCAAATTTCCATAGCTATATTCTGAAGCATCGCGATTCGTGGCGACGATCTTGACAAGGAATAGAATATCATGTTCGTGCAACGCTTCCCACGCCTTTCGCGTCTCACCTCGCAATCCATGCAGACTAAACGTCACATCGGCACGCACTTCGGCCGGAGTGTTATCTCCAATCGCCGCTCGACGCACTTCCGTTAAGCTGAACGAAACCAGCGGAACGCCCATTCGGCTTTTCCCGGTAAACGCCGTCTCTCCGCTCATATCCAATCGAGGACGCATTTGGTAGACGGTTTCGCTGAGATCGCTGCGAATCTCATCGTACACTTCTTGCTGGTAGAGCTCGAAGTTCCGCAGCAGATAATCCTGGAGAGAAAGGAACTGGAGATTGAGATTGGGCAGCGAAATGGAGGCAGCGTTCAGCCCGTTCTTCTCCTCACATATCGACAACCAGCTCTCATTCCACAGCATGTGCTCGTCAGGCAAGAGAGGCAGCGAGTTGACCTGCATTACTCGGTTTGGTCGATTTGCGTATTTCTGTGCGAAGATCTCCAGCAGCAGTGGCTTGGAATACACGGTTGGAATCACTTCCTTCCCCGCAGGCGGAACGAGCCGTAAGTGAACCCCCAGCGCGCGCAAGGCATCCTCGGAGAGCTGATCCAGCTGCGAGAGAAGGAACGGACGCTCGATCACGCGCTGGACGGACGTCATCGAGAGTTCTTCCAGCTGCGTTTTGAAGTACTTGAACGCCACGTTCTGCAGCTGCATGACTTTGTGATAGAACTGCTCGTTCGCCTCCACTTCCTCTAGAGCGCGTCCACTCACCTCGTCCATCTCAAAGCCCAGGGAATCTTCCAGCCGTTCTTCTGCTTGCAGCAGCAGTCCATCGCACAGAGGACTCAGACGCACACGCGCAGCCACGTGCCAGTCCTCGATGAGAACAATGAGAAAACGTCGAGTGGAGATTTGGTTCAGAAGCTCTGTAAGAAGTCCCACGATCATCGCAGAGAGCGTGACCAGCTCGTCTCTTCCTTCTTGTGCGAGAAGATCGAACAAAAGAGAGAGCAGAGAGGGGAAGAATTGCGACTTTGCATCCGTCCAATCCGATACCTGCATGTTGACGGACTGCAGAAGTGCATAGGCGGAGCGAACTGCAGACTCAGGACCTCGTCGCAAGTTGGAGTCGTATGTGGAGAGGAATTTCTCCACTTGCTCAGCTTGATCATTTGGCTGAGCTTGGTCTGTTCTTGCTTGCTTTAAGTATTTTTGCAATGTGCGCTTTGTCCTTAACACTTCCCACGTCATGTGGAGACGCGGATTTTTACTCAACTCCAAAGAGCGACGTCGCTGATGAACGTTCTCCCAAATCTCAATAGAGCACAATGGAAGGACATTTCGACGGATTCCATCCTTCTCCATAGACTAAATATCACCACAATGCAGAAATCAAACAAGAAAGGCATATTTGAAGAATGAGATATAAACTTCAAGATCCTCTTCCTTGATTTGCTTCTTCAAAAGTAAATCGATCGCTTTGGAAAACAGAATGCCGACTTTGCTTTCTTCCTTCAATATGTACTCCCATCCTATATGAATCAATTCAACCATCCATCTCCATACCATTGAGACCTTCGTCGCAGTTAGAAACAACAGCTGCAAGAAGCTCCATGACTTGTTCCTTGCTAGCATTCTCATCAAATCTACTCCACTTTTCTGGGTCCATTTATAAAAATGAAGCAATAATGTGAAGTTGTGAAAGAGATTTATGAAAAGAGTGAAGACGAGTGGTTTGGATATGAGTAAGGTGGGATGAAATATCTAGATTGGGGTGAAGAAAAGTTTGGTTTGAAAATGTGTCAACATTGCTGAAACTACACTCCTGGATAGAGAATCTATACATATTTGTAAGTAATTCGAGGAAATAGAAATTGCACAGAAAACAATCAACGTAGGTTCCCTACTTTTCCATTTTCCCGACTCTCCCATCCATTTTAACGTACATTCTACAGCCAGATTCATATCCCTAAGCCTATCCCAGCGTGTTGTCCCTTTTTCCCATTGGTAGGTAACGATCCCTACAACGACCTCAATAACTCTCTTCCAGCAATTCCAATCGTTTATTTTTATTTATAGAAATAACAATGTAGAATCGATTTGCTGCTTGCATATTAAGGAAATCGTAATCATGATCGAACCCAGCTTTTTTGGATTTTTATCATTTTGGATCAAATCTGATTATCCGAGGCACCGAGAAAAATGAAGCGTATGTTTTCGAAGAAGGGACTCGTAGAGTCCGCCAAAGACGAGAAAATCGAGGATGTGGAAAGTGATGCTGATCTTCAAGAGTAAGTCGTTTTTCCTTTTCTGGAATTGGACGATTAACCCTTCCTATAGCATTCAGCCTCCTCCAGAAAAGGCTCTCGAACTTCCTAAAGAATGGCTCACTACTGACTTGGAAGAGCAAAAAAGCAGTAAATGGGGCGAAAAGGTAGGCAGATTGGCGCCCGAGTTCCTTGCTTAGATTGTGAAACAAATCTACAAGCTGCATATTGATGAGGAGATGCGCAATTGGTATGGAATGGTGGGAATATTCACATGAAGCGAGCCCGAATATACAACCCTTCGCGATCTAAAGTTTTGGTTAGGAACCTGGAATGTGAACGGCAAAAAGATTGACGAGAACATTAATATCTGGCTGACGGGCTCTGTGACTGGAAAGCCCACTGTAGGATCTTTTTATAGCTTTTCTCCTGTAGGCCGATATCTACGTTGTGGGTCTCGAGGAGATGGTGGATCTGACAGCAACGACCGTGGTGCTCGAGGCGCAAAGCCAGAAGCGAGCCGGTGTTTGGTTAGAGATGGTGTCGAATGCTTTAAATCGCGGCGCCAAGAACGATGTGCGAGTTCGAATGATTCGTAAACGGTAGGAGACGAGCTACGTGTTGATCGAGCATCAAATCCTTGTCGGTGTTTTCCTGTGCGTGTTCATCCGCAAATCGCTTCGAGATCGCGTGACGGACGTGATGAGTGAGCGCGCTGGTCGGCTTTGAGCTGTAGCGACGACGGCTGCGACGGGTCTATTGGGCATGATGGGAAACAAGGGAGGCGCTGCGATCCGCATGAAGCTTATGGACAGCACGGTTTGCTTCGTTTGCTCGCATCTGGCGGCCCATCGCGAGAACGTGGCGGGTCGAAACGCGGATTTCCACAAGTGCGAGCGAGGCGGTGGGTGAACGGTAGGATCTGCGATAACATTCGGTTCAAAACGGAGGACGAGACCTTCGGTATCCTGGACCACCAGCTGATTTTCTGGGTAGGCAGCGAGTGGTTGAATTGATCGCAGATCGGCGACTTGAACTACCGAATCACTTCGGATGTGCCCACGCTGCGCGTGTTTGATTATGCTCGCGACGACTTGGACTATCTGCTGAAGAAGGACCAGGTGTGTGGTGATTGGGCGGAATGAAGCGCAGCTGAAAGTGTCGCAGCGCGCAGGTCTGGCGTTCGAGGAGTTCACGGAGCCGGAAGTGAAGTTCCCTCCGACCTACAAGTACAAGAAGTACACGACGCAGTACGACAAGAAGGAGGGAAAGAAGTGCCGCGCGCCGGCGTGGTGCGATCGTATTCTGTACAAAACGGGCGATGGAGCGTCGATGGACGACATCGAAGTGCTGACCTACGACCACATTATGAAGCTGAGCGGATCGGACCACAAGCCGATTTTCTGCGAGATGAACGTCCGTGTGAAGGAGTACGACCCCGCGAAGCGGAAGAAGATCCAGCTGCGGATCGAGCGGGAGCTGAAGAAGAGCGAGAACAGCGCTGCGAAGGTCCACGTGGAGCTGAGCGGGGACGAGATCGATTTCGGCAAGCTGAAGTACCGAACTCCGGAGCGTCGCACGCTGACGATTTCGAACGAGGGAGAGGGCAACGCGTACTTCCACTTCCTTCCCAAGGCGGAAGACTCGCACATCTGCAAGCGTCTCTTCAACGTGTCAAAGGCGTACGGCGTGGTGAAGCCGAACGAGAAGCTGGACATCGAAATGGAGGCGCTGATCGACCCCGAAGCAGCGCATGTAGGCGAGTGCGAGTCGATGAGTGATGGCTAGGAGCTGAATGGAGGCCACGACGTGCTGCATGACGTGCTGGTGCTTCGCGTGGAGCACGATCGCGACTACTACATCACGATGTTCGGCGATTACGTGATGTCCTGCTTCGGACAGTCTCTCGAAAACCTGATTCGAATGAAGGCTCCAGGTCGGTGTGCAGCGAGAACGTGACGACTAGCGCGCGAGTCCTCCGAGATCAGCAGCAACAGTCCCGTAGCGATGGCGATCCCGAAGGAGTTGTGGCGCATGGTGGACTACATGATGCAATATGGCTGCGACAGCGCGGGCCTGTGGACGGACAAGGGAATCGAAGGCGAGGACGCGCTCATTCGCGACATGCTGGACGAGGGCCGACCGTTCGAGGGCATCGAGTTTATGATCGGGCGAGAGAGTGACTGGTAGCGTTCACTCGATGGCGGACTGCCTGCTGGACTGGTTCCGCGCGCTGCAGTCGCCGCTGATTCCAGAGAAGTGCACGTCGCGCATTGAAAAGGGCGAGAAAATCAACAGCGCGTTCGTCGATGCGTTTATGAATATGGTAGGAGTGAGGGAGGAGCGTGAGGAAAGATGTCTCCGGTCCGAAAGAATGTGTTTGTGTATATGATTATGTTTTTGCGCGAGTTGCTCAAACATGCGGAATCAAATGATCTGACCGCGGAGTTCCTGGGAATGATTTTCTCGCAAGTGTTCATCGTGAATGCCTCGAAGAAGCAGCAGCTGAGCAAGGAGTACCGCGTAGCGCAGGAGATGGTCACAGAGTTGCTAATCTACCTGCTGAAGTCGACAGCTCAACAACTCGCTGGAGAGGTTGTTGCGGAGGACTCTGGATCCGAGGCTTCCGACGAAGACTAAGGAAGGGTTGGGTAATTGCGTTCATTCTTTGCGATTTTTTGTTATAATCCTGAGTAAACTGTATAGTGATCGGAGAAATCTTGATTATCATGATGATTCGATCGACATTTTGATTCTCTAAAAAAGAAAAAGGTAGATTTGTCAATCTAGAATCATGCCTAGAAAAACAGATTACCCGTTATGGAACTTACAGCAGGTGGATCTCACTGGACTGACGTGATTTTGTAGAAGAGAAGGCGATTCTTGATGAAAAGGCAGCGATCGATGCAGCCTCCGGAGAGCAGCAAGAAGAATTGACTCCGGTTGATGCAGAAGGAGGTGTCTATTCACCCGCTTTCTTTGACCTTGAAAAGTACCCTACTCATTGGAAGCTGGTATTTGATACTCATTGAATAAGACAAAGGCCGACGATCCGGTCAAGGGACAAGATTGTTGGATTGGACTGACTGGAGAGAACTTTAAGATTCGCGGCCCGAACTACTTGAACGATCGAAAAAAGATCATGTCGGAGCGCTGCGTATTTAGATGTCTTTGCTGTGAGTTGATCAATTCTGCCAATCGTCTTGAGCATTTTAGCCAGAACAGCAAGTCTCTTGTTCAGAAGCTAAGACGCGAGGGCTACAAGGGCTTCATTTATGTGTACAACATTATGGTAACTATTTCTTCCTGGTTGTGAAAGGATAGGTAAAGTACAAGGGAAAATACGTGAGTATGCTGAGCTACTTCGAAGTCCCCGAGGATCTTGAGTCCGTTTCACCTCATGTGAACCAGCTGTGGAAGCGGTACTTGGAATCGGACGACACGTTCCGAAACGACCGCCTGAAGATGATAGCGCGTTGTCCTGAGATATCCTACAAATAGGAGTGCGGTGTCTTAACGCCAAGGACCTTGGTTTGTAAAGAAATTGGTGGGAAATGTTCCCACGATTATTGGTCACAAATTGCCACAGAAAACGTTCCGCGGAGAAGGCTACTGCGAGCAGATGATTGATGTGACGGCTGATAAGTTCATTGCGAACGTAGGTGACTGGGAGGAGGTGCGATGTAGTCTGTGGAGATGACGCTGAAACAGGCAAAGAAGATCGTGATTGATCTCGGACTGGTGATCGAGTGTAAGGAGGCGGAATTGCTTCCGGAACGATTGCTGTGCGCTTGGAGAATATGCAGACCAGATTTGACTCAGACGGTGAACATTGACTAGTGTGTTTGTTGACAAGAAATGTGGTGATGGAATGTGTTAGATGGGGGGGAGGTAGAAAGGAGAGATAACGAATTAGAATGAGATGTGAAGAGAAGAGAAGAAAAGAACGGAATAGGTGGCGTGTAATGAATGGATAGAAGTAATGGTACAGGACTGGAAATAAAGCATTAGGAGAGTGAGGGGCAAACAGGAGAACAGTGATGTGAAGGAAGAGGAGATATTATATTTGTGAGTCGTGTAACATGGTTTTCTATAGTGCCCAATGATTTATGAGTAAGTACGGAAAGAGAATTGAATAGGAAAGGAAAATAGAATGATAAGAAACTGTGGTTTGTGGGTTGTTATTGGACTTGGTGTGATGAATGAATCACTTTATAGTACAATGGGATATCCTGCAAGTATTAGATCAAAAAGAGAGCGAGAATCGGCATGAATGAATGCGAAACAATAATAGGATCAATTATAAAATGAATTGAGAAAAAACACTGATTCTTTGTTTGTGATTAAGAGGGAGAACCAATAAGAACATTCAACAAGCGGAAAATACAATAAAGAAAGTGTACTATTTAACAATACTTGAAAAAACGAATAATAAACTGAAGGAATTGGGACCATTACTTGATTATCCTGTTGTATGAGAATAAAGTAGACTTATATTACAGTTAAAAAGAAAACTAAAGATTGAATTACTATGCTATATTGGCATATAGGAATGTATACAGCAACAAGTATTCTTGACGCAAATTCACAAACATAAATATAGGAGAATAACTAGTAATATCTAGTACTTATTAAGAGAAGCCAGTGTCGTATGACTGCAGGATATCAGAGTTGGTAATGCTTGAGAAATATATAGATTTAATGGATATAAATTGCTGAACAGTTGAGTGGAATTACTAACTACATGTAACAAATATCAAGCTACTATTATAATATACTGCGTGTAATGAAGACAATAGGGGAAAAGAACTGAAAACATTAGACCGCTCTTATTTTCACATTCTTAAGTAATTGGAGTATTTTTGAATGTTAATAGTACACTTGATGGAGTGATTACTGAGATATTTTTCCTTAGAATATGAAACCTTGTGGGTACAATTAAACCATACTTTTCAGTATCCTATACATTCTACAAGCAAATAGTTATCGAGATTAGGGTAACTCAAATACATGCTAAAATGACCAGGGGATTGATGAATAAGTATGATAATGATTATCGTCATTTACAAAGATATTGGTGTTGGAGAAACAATAAAAGTAATGAACTGACCGAATAAAGATGATAAATGGAAAATTATGTTATAAACAGAATCGCAACGTTGATACGATCGTATAGAGATACGAAGTGTAGATTTCAATGAAAAGTAGCTTCATCTTATTTACACTTTCGCTGCCCAGAATTTTATATAAATCATAAAAGAAACAGGAGAAATCAAAAGCAAATTATATAAATGAATGTAACTTGGCAACAGAAGTCTTCTTATTGCGAAAATAGTTATAGGCACAATCAATCACTTTCATGGAACATTTTTGGCATTCAATATGATTAGTATTATTAGCTCTAGGAGGAAAGTCACTATGTAGTAGTTCGTTATTTGTACAATTCTGTGAGAAGGATATGACATTTTCAGTTTGATCTGCTATTTTTATGTGTTTGGGAACCAGCTCATTTGTGAAGAAAACCTATGATAAATATGCAGTAATAATCCTACTGATTCCTTATAAGGTAAACGTGCATTCTTGAGAATATGATGCCCACAATGCGTTGGATTGAATTGGCACAGTGTACAAAACTTTCTGGTTTTTGCACATTTAAAAGGAGGAATAATGAGAGATCGATTCAATCTGTTTGCCAGTACAACAGCAAGTGATAATTCATTTAATGTATCTAAATAATATGGTAAAATAACACTTACTGCATTTCTCTATTGTCAGATACTTTGCATCTGGGTTACTATATTCCCCATCTACATCTAATTTGTAGAGCTTCAATTCTTTTAATCGGTATATTTTGTTTTTTATCCCAATAACAAAATTATCGTGCATCATAATTTGAGTTTCCCTGATTTTGTCCCAATAGTATGAATGCTTTTTAAAAAACACTGCTCCAGAAGAAAACAAATGATCTGGCAAAAAAAGAAGTTTAACTGAAGTATTGTTTTGAACAACCATATTAAAAGCCTTTTGGTCATCAGCATTTAACAGTTTAGGTCTTATTTCAATAGTTTTTGCCAATAATTGTTTTGTCATTAGGGTAGGCATAAGATATATAAAACCTGTACATATATCAACATCCCTTTGAGCAATAAAATCATACCCATTATAGGAATTTAACACAGGAAAAGGGTCTTTGAACAGAATATTATCCGAATCCATATAAAGAACTCGAACGTTTTGGTTTACAGCTTGTTGCAACATTATGAGTTTCCAATGAACTTTGTTTCGAAATGCACGAGATCCATAGGATGATGCAGTTGAAGTATCTACCAACTTATCACTTTCTGCACTAACTAGAGCTACATTGATGTTCATACCTTTTAGCCGTTTGTAGCAAGCCTTATCGAAACATGTTACGATTAGATTTTTGTATTGCTGTAAACCACAAACACGGTAGGAATTCAAAAACATGTTAATGTAGCCACTATCAGTACACATCAACATAATAGTATTGTTATATGAATGCCTCTGAATAACTGTATCAAGTCGATCATATGTTGTTTTTTTTATAATATGCTTGCTACAGTCATGTTCATAGTTGATTCATATATAGATTTCATAGAACATACTATAATAAAGCTGAATAACAGAAATCCAATGATTATTATAGACAACTTCATTATTAATCAAATAATATAATATAAATAAATACAAAGAAATAATGAGTCATTAATGTATTGTGTAAACATTTTATACTGATAGATTCATTACTCCTTTTGTCGACATGAATTTAAGAAATATGCTTTGGTTTTTTTTGCAATTAGAACTTAACAAAGTCATTTTATGTTGAACTGCACTTCTATTGATATTAACTATAAAATCATTCTATAATAGTATCAATACATTCTTATTACATTTTATTTATTAGCCTTATAAGACATAAAGGTAAAATAACCATTACATAACCTTTCAATATACTTATCGTTGAGCATTTCGATCATATTAAGCATTCTAGTATTTACTAATCCCTACATAGACAAATAGAGGCTGACAATGTTTTTATTTCAGAAGTATAATACTTTGTAGAAGATATCACATTTAGATAACTAGTATTAAAGGCCATCAATGCGAGTGAACAACCTATGATAGATAATTGCAGAAATGAATATCTATATTATTAATTGTTAAGTATGAATGTCACATAATTACCACACAAATTACACAATAACATCTTATAAATACACAATATGTGCGAACGTTGAGCATTTCAACTATTGATTAATGTATAATTAATCTGTTAAGATATTATTAGGTAAATACAGGAAGAACAATAATTAGCTAAAAGGTTTTGTGTATATATGGGTGTAAAAATAAAGAGTTTATAATTGTCGATTTAGTTGATTTGAGATTTCTTTGTGATGCATAATTATTGAAATTATTATGTGTATGTTTGCCATACTAAATAATAATTATTTTACAATGGAGGATATTACAGTTGATGATGAATATGGAAACAACGCACTTTTCATGTACAACTTTATAACAGAAAAAACAAAAATAAAAAAAATGCAATAGGAATGATAAGGAACCACTCGACAAAAGAAGCCATACGCCATTTTTCCTATGAAGGTTGGACAGAATACCAAAAATATGAATACTTAATACTTAATGATACATCGAAGAATTTGCAGCTCAGAAAATTAATATTGATTTACATGTGTATTTACCAATTTCCTAAGAGATTAATTGCTCAACGTAGTTACTTTGCTTAATATGGTAACTACTCAATTCACTTACTTGTCCTGGACACAAAGTTGTCATATACGTTATTGTTATAGCCACAGAAAAGGTGAAGTATTTCAAATCTACCGTCATTTTCTATATATAATTACATTAAATAGGATAGTTTATACTAAAGCAAAATGACACACAACTATTTCATTTATAAAACCTACCAAAATAGTATTTATATAGGTAATATTGAAGTAAACTGCAATATTACAATGTTATTCTTTTAAAAGCTAAACAAGGACAACTCATATTTGTGTGAGGCTAATTAAAAAATAAACAACTGTTTATAGTTACAACCTTTTATCTACCAACTATTGTTTTCAATTGGAAGTTACTTTCAAAAATCTTAGTATAATACTTTCACTTTTCATAACACTTTACATTCGTTCAATATCAATATTGTTTTATTGCATTCACATTATTGATAGTATTATATGTTTTAAATACCATTTTGTAACAAATCATCTATACTTATTGCTTTTCGTTATTTTTTGAGCAATACGTAATCTTCCACTCAAACGTGAATAAGGTTTTATAATGATACGTTTTAATACTCGACACAAATATGCACACAAATATGCATAAGGATTGTTTACAGTGTTGATCGTTTATGATTTTTATAATAATTGGAAGGTATGGTCATGAAACATCCATAATTTGTTGTGGAATAATTGAGATTTGCGCTTACCAATATATTCATTAATATAAATTGTTTTCACATCTATATATCTTTATTATCTAAGGACTAGTTTTAATATCTTAATAATTAATTAACGAAAGAAAACAATTTACGTTGATTAATACAAATTTCAATAATGGTATAACAAAAGAATTATTAACGACGATGATAACTGCCAATTTAAAATACGAGTTTCAGCAAAATGTTACAAAATATTGTAGTGTAAAAATAGATTAATGGCATTTCGCATATCATTAACGATATAGCAATTCAAAGAAATTCCAAATCACAGATGGCGTATGTAATATATTGGTCTATACTAATTGAATAAAAATAATGAGAATACCCAAACTACTTGGGATAGTAGTAAACAACAGGGTCTGCAAGAAATATATGTTAATTAGATACCGGACAGGAGTAAATAAGGAATAAGTGTATTTTTATATATGATGTATCATCTCATATATATACAGTAAAGAATAGTTGTTCTTTGTAAAATTATGATATTAGTAATTACTCTCTCCTTCTGAATGCAAACCGCATATTTTTATCTTTATATTGTTATAAGTCTATAATATCCTCTAATATTATAAGAAGCTTAGCTTATTAGAATGGTATAATCTCTGTTGATAATATTAATAGCAATCGATTCCTTTAGTATTCATTATCTAGCACCATTACTTAATAATAGAAACAAAATGAATCAATATAAACTCTATTATAAGAATAATTCTCAAAAATTGGGGTTATGTATGCTTTTCAATATTAGTTGAACATACGAACTATAGTACCTGGAAAAGTCTATCATATTATCACAGTTAATAATCTAATAAATGGCCAACAAGAAATTTCCTTTCATTTAAAAATAACAAAAGACTAAATTCAACTGTACAAATATAATGAAAACACAAGGCTGTAAAGAAACTATGTTTGGTATTGTAAATCACATCGTTTATACTCCAGACAATCAATGTATACATTAAAAAACAAATAATATCAATTTTACACATGGAATTGTGTAAGGAAAGTGAAATTATTATTACAGATAGAGTAGGCAGTCGCGGTTGAAAGCATATAGTGAATGCAGCAAACCAAATAATTTTACCTATTCTGAGTTTAAACTACTTTTTTGTGAATGGAACTTTTAAGTCTGGAATACACCATTAAATACATAAGAAATAGAAGATGCTATTTCAGATGATTCTTTGCACAATAAGTTAATCGAGTGAATTAGTATGAAAGAAATCGCAATGCTTCTGAAATATGTTTGCTACATTTTTTATTGAGTAGTTGTTGAGATGCGTTGTATAATTTTTATATTAATAATATAATTCAACAAGTGTTGTTCTACTAGAATATAAGAAGTTACTTGAAAATAGAAACGAGATAGAAAAAACTTAAGAAAGAAAACTCTTTAATAATCTAGATTTTATCATTTATATAATTCTATATTTCACGTGTAGTAATAGTAGTAGTATTATTTGAATCAACATAAAACCATTACAAATAGTGATGTATTATTTTAACATTCCAATATACAACAGAAGCTTAATTATCCAAGTATACGTACCGCTATAATAGGTAAACAATAGTATTTATCTATTGTTTTGATTAGATAAATCCCATGCTTGAAAAATGTATAACCGTACAAAGAATTAATAATAGACAGCAGTAGTACCAATCATTGTTCATGGGAAACAACCATTATCAAAAACATAATGGACTGTATTAATAATCAGTGGATATTGCAGGATTTACAAAAACAACTATTGGTAGTTGTATTATTATAGTTTGTGTAATATACCCTCTAGATTATTATTTACGAGAGTGAGGATTACACAATACAAATCTCTTTTTTAATAACAAAAGGAGTTTTTACATATTAGTTATTCTTGAATAGACATTTTATAGTTGAAATGAACTTGTGCATTTCTACAATACATTTTTTAAAAGATTATATTAATAGAACTTGATTTCATGTGAAGGGTATATTAAATGTTTGGAATACTATTATTGAGGTTAAGCGCCTTGACCATCTCGTTGTTCACTGCCTCGATGAACTGGGAGAACGTGTAGTCTCCAGTAGACATCGATAGGACGAGGGAGGTCTCGCCGTTCGCCACCACTACTATCTGGCTGCACGAGGTACTCAGGAAGTATTGCCGTGGGTTATCCACTCCTTTCACCAGTACACTCGATTCGAATCCGAGGATCGATTGGATCTCGGGAGTATGTGTGTAATCGATTGTGTAGAAGTGATTTACTGTGATATGGAATGCATTCTCGCCTCTATACACCAATTCGAACAGGGCATCACTCGCATTCAACATTACAATGATCGTCTTGATATGGTAAACGCCGCGAGGTATTAGTACTTCTTGTGGTATGTTCCCGGCATTAATTAGCACAACTTAGCCATATGAAACGTTTTGCAACACGAAATCGGCATTGAGTAACAAAGACGAGATGAAACACTGATCGAATGAAAGAGGATTGTCCAGCTTCACTTCCTTCTTCGTAGTATTACCGAACATTTCCATCATACTCAACTGGTTCATCGGTAGAATTGAGGAAGGCACTTCATCATACACGTCATCAATCGTCAACTGGAGTTCGAATTCGCCGTTCAATCGCATGATATTACCATCCATATCGCGGAATAGGAACATCAATCGATCAAACCGAGTGATCATTGGAATGCACACGTCTTCCACAGTTCGCACGTACTCAGCCGTTGGATCGTCAATGATCATTGTGGTTAGCAGGTTGTTGTTCTGGTTGGCAATCTTCAGGTCTGATGATCGCACGATCGTCGAATAGACCTGGATCACTTGTTGATTTCGCGTGATATCAATCACGTTCGATCCGCTGAACGAAGCAGGTAGAATAACGGTTTGTCCTTCCAAACCGAGGATTTCTCGAATGTCCGGAGCATTGATAAAACCAATGGTATGCGTGGACTGGATATAAATACACCCATAACTCGAAGCCTTCATAGATATCGAGAATGAAGTATCGATCATGATGTTGAGGATGGCAATGATTTGACCGATCGTATAGTATGAAGGAGGAATCGTTAACTCCTCGTCATTGGAGTTGGTGACCACATTCGTAAAATCCACATTTTTGAACATGACTTGATTGGATCTGAACAAGACAGTTAAGGAAGTGATGTAAGGATACTTGTACTTGTACGAATTGATCCACGAGAACGTGCCGTAACTAGATGAGCCTTGGATGAGCATGGAGTAGTACATCTGCTTTACCATAATAGTTAGGTATTGACGTGGTTTTGCTTAAAACTTTGATATCTGCTGACATGTGGCGTCAGGGACAGCATGGATTCCATGGGGGCGCGGGCTAAGAGGCAGATTATTACTGCCGATAAAGGGACGATGGAAAATATAGCTACTTTGGCCGAAAAAGACACCCGAGAAATATCGCACAATTTACGTCAATTCATTGCTACTTTTATTCATCTGCAAAAATGTGACTATTGCCTATAACTGGAATGAACCCTATGCAATTCAATGGATCCAAAGCACATGACTGTAATAACCACAAAGAGCAAAACAAAGATATAATAGCTTAATATAATTTATCTGGTTATTTATGCATCCATTTCAAAGCCTTAACGGTTTAATATCAAGTAAAGTAATAAATAATATATAGTATCAGTGATAGGAGAGTAGATGAAATATAAAATAATGGT